TTGATTAATTGTTGTTTAAAGTTATCCTGAATCTTAGGAGCTCTCTAGAGCCAATTTATCCTGGTGAGCGCGTAGGAGCAGTAATTGCCGACGTCACAGGCCACTTCGTGGCCTGTGCCCAGGGGTGGTATTTCCAACAGTTACCCACAGTGCAGGCCGTCCAAGCACGTGATGCGGCTGCCTGCCAAGCCAGCCTCGCATTCCACTGATTCCAGGCCCCCCACAGCAGGCGACAGGGATCGGATCACCTTGGAAAACCCCACAGGCACAAAGAGCCGACCATCAGTGATCGACCCCAAGGCGCCATCAACCCCATCGAGCCGCCATCAGCGTTCACGATAATCACCGCTTGGGCATCTGCGACATCGACGAGCTAATTGACAGCATCCTATTGCCCTGCCCAGAAATCCCAGCGCGTTCCTGGTTTGCCTGGCGACGTCACTCGCTTTCATTCCTTTTTCCGCTTTGAGCGCGTCAGGATTCAAGAAACAAGGGCACAGTCACCCACTACCATCGCTCTCGACAGCTCAACCCCCATTCCGCCTGTCGCGACCTTTCGCGCATCGCTTCTCCATCCCCGCTCACCGATCGGCCACCGTGCCTGCCTACCCCGTCGAACCCCTTCGTGCAGAACCCCCACATCCGACTCCGGCTTTCTGCCGCCCTACCCATGATCCGACGCAACATCACGCTTCGATTAACAGTTTGAGCCTGGGGGAAGACGAGGTTGACGGGCTTGTCGTTGCTCCTCTCCTCCTAACGCCACCCCGGGTGATTGCTCTCCCCATCAATGGCGCCCACGGGCACTGTCGCAATGGCGCCGGTGGCGTCGACAGCGCCGCCCAAGATCAAACGACCAATACCTCCCGGCATCCAAACCAACGGTGTTGCCGCTCCCCGTTCCTCGCCCTCGCCATCAATATCGGCCAAACGCGCCCCTTCGGCCGTCCGTCAGCCCTCTAATCCCCCCACTGCCACCGGAGCAACGCCTGTATCTGCCCGTCAACCTACCAGGCCGCGAAGGGATGTGTCTGGGCAGGCGCTGGGAAGGGGTCAGAGGAGCGCCGGGCTACGTTCGGCCAGCATCGTGCCCGACCTCGCTTCATCACTCACAACCGAACCCCCACCATATGGTTCGTATCATCAACTCTCGACCGTTGCACGCTGTGAATCGGTTGTTGCTAACAGTGGTATAGTGGTCACCGACGACTATATCCTAAAAAAATATGCCGGCAACCCTCCGTCATTAATACTCCATCTACACCCAAATCACTTCCGCTTCGACCAGCAGGAGGGCATGTTTCATTACAGCTCGCCGATGCGTCTATTTTTGGAACATCTCCGGACTCGGACCGTCCCCCATGAAATGGTCGAATACTTCACCCAAGGGGGGGTGCGCTTCTACGAGGGCTGCCTGATCGTCCAAATACACGATCACAAGTCAGTCGCGCAAACAAAGGATGTCGCGAGGCCTACATCGGCTTCGAGCAAAACGACACCTTTTTCAATACACAACTACAACCAATATCTAACCCCGTCCTCTTACGTTCCCTACCCCAAGGAAGGCCTCTCGGCAAATGGCGCATCCACCCCCGCAGCCGAGGCGGACTCGGCCGGGAAGACTACTGAGGACAAGGAAAACATGCCGGCCCCCAACGCACCTGCTGATGGCGACAAGGCTAAAGCCGCGCCCAAGGCCAAGGTGATGACTATCGTACTCCACCCTACCCAACAAAGTCTACACAGTGACCTTGCTATCAAGACTAGCACGCCTCGCGGAACATCCGACGCCCGTGCCGATGGGGCTGGCCCTCCACCAACTCCTCACGCTGCCGTGCCGCCGACGCCGACTGCGGCAAGCATGCCGCCTCCCACAAAGAAACAAAAGAGGGAGCATATGGAGCTTGACCCTAGCAACATATACGCTGCCGAATCTCAAGTACTGTTGGCGACCACCGCACCTCTAGACCTTGAGCCAACCAAGAACGCCGAAGAGACGATAGCAAAACTGGAGAAGCTCGCCCATCCCGAACACTCGCACAAGCCTCCTGAGCCCAAGACGCGGAAGAGGACGGTCGCCGAGGTCGCGGCCGACGAAGCATTGGCTGCCGAGCAGGAGAGATATATGCTTGTGATGGACGAGCGTCTCTCGTCCAAGGTGGCCGGTGCCCAGGCCGGCGGGAACGGCGCGGACGGAGATGGTCAGGCTGGGGCGGCCGCCTTCGAGCCCAGGTTCGAGCGGTTCAAGCTCATTGCCGATATCAAACGGGAACACGCCGAAAGAAAGGAGATTGAGAAGATGAAGCAGGCCGAGAACGAGCGCAAGCTACTTCAGCAAAAGCAGCAACAGCAGCAACAGCAACAACAGCAGCAGGAGGCTGCCATGCATGCGGCGAACAGGCAGGCCGAGGTGGAGCGCCAGCGCAAGGAACAGGTTCTCCGCGAGCAGCAGCAGCGACAGGATGCTCAGAGACGGCTTCAGGCGCAGGCGCAGGCACAGGCGCAAGCAGCGCAGCAAGCCGCTCAAGCCCAGGCGCAGCAGGCTCAGGCACAAGCTCAAGCCCAGGCCCAGGCTCAGGCCCAGGCTCAAGCACAGGCTCAGGCTCAGGCCCAGGCCCAAGCTCAGGCACAGGCTCAAGCACAGCAGCATAATGCCAACGCAGCAGCCATGGGCCAGATCCCACACGGACATCCTGCGCATCACAGCCCTCTGCCCGTCAGTATGGCGCCTCAGGCACAGGGACGCTTCCAGCAGGTCTCTCAGCCGCCGGTGTCGTCACCAATCGTGCGGCAAAATACACCGCAGACAGCATCGTCTCCCATGGGCATGGCTGGAGTGCCAATGCAGCATTCTACTTCAAACATGGGACAAGCGGCAAGCCCCCCCAGGCCGTCATCAGTTGTCCAGAACCTCCCCATGGGCGTACCCATGGCGGCCAGCATGTCCGCACGCGGAAGCCAGCAAAGCCATGCGGCTGGGACACCCAGAATGCACGCGGCTACTCCCAACATGGGGCACGCAACGCCAATCACGAGGCCGCAGGTCGTACCGACGCCGCGGATGACACAGGCGAGCCCGCCGCCTGGCATGATGACACCTGCGCAGCAGATGGGACAAGCCATGTTGATGAACCCGCAAGGGATGGGACAGATGCCAAACATTGGGCTCACGGCGGCGCAGATTGCACAGCAACAACGGTTTGTGCTGCAACAGCAGCAGCTACAGCAGATGCAGCAGAACGGCATGAACATGATGCACCCTCAACAACTGGCGCAGCAGCGAATGATGCAACAGCAGCTGTTGCTGCAGCAACAACAACAGCAGCAGCAGCAGCAGCGGGGAGGCCAGATGATGAACCCGGCACACCCACTGGCACAGTACGCCCAGCAGCTCAACAACCTGCAGCAGGGGCAGATGGGCCAGATGGGCCAGATGAATGCGATGCAATTACAAGCCCAGCGGCAGTTCATCGCAGCCCAAGCCGCCGCCCAGGCCCGGGGTCAGAACATGATGGCCATGAACGGCATGACCCCGCAACAGATGGCCATGATGCAGCAAATCCAACTGCAAAAGCAACAGCAGCAAGCCGCACAACAGCAACAGCAGCAGCAGCAGCACCCGCAACAACAGCAACAGCAGCAACAAGGCCAGGGCCAGCAGCAGCCGCAAGCGCAAACACAGCAGCAACAACAACAGCAGCAACAGCAGCAGGCGCTGGCCATGCTTGCCATGAACCCGGCGGTGCAGCAGCAGATCCGCAACCAGACGCAGGCGCTCTACGTCAAGAACCTGCCCAGCCTGACGAGGAACTATGGCGGGGCCGTCAGCAACGTCCCCGAGGAAGCCCTGACAGAATTCAAGCGGAACTGCGCCGTGCAGGCAAAGAATGCTGTGCTGAGGCACCTGTCGATGCAACAACAGCAGCAGCAGCAGCAGGCGCAGGCGCAACACCAGGCGCAAGCTCAAGCGCAGGCACAGGCGCAGGCGCAGGCGCAGGCGCAGGCGCAGGCGCAGGCGCAGGCTCAAGCGCAGGCACAGGCGCAGGCTATGCAGATGCAGGGTATGGCTGGGCTGCAGGGGATGAATTTGCAGGGGATGAATCTGCAGGGTGTGCAAGGGGTGCAAGGGGTGCAAGGGATGGGGATGATGTCCCAGGGTATGTAGTTACCGTAGGTATTGCGGATACCTGGTGGTTATCTGAACTTGTTTTTTTTTTCTTTTCTTAGGTGGGTGGGTGGGCTGGGTCGGGGGATGAATCATGTCCGGGTTATGTCAGTCAGTACGTACGTACGTACGCAACGGAGTTGGCGTGGTTTTTATTTTATTTGGGGTTGTTGTAAATGGTCGTTTTGCTTGCGCCGCTTTCCCTCTTGACTTGGCTTGTGGACGGCGAGGTTTCAAGTTCCAAGTTCAAATCTCAAGTTCCAGGTTCACAGGTCAGCTCAACATCAACATCAACATCAACATCACATATACCCTGGGGCGGACGGGCGGGGGTGTATTATTCGTATTCATCCGGTTCCGGTTTTGCGTTACTGGTTGCCATTGGAGCAGAGCAGAGCAGAGAGCAGAGCGAAACACATATCATGGTTTATCATTTTCAGGCTTTGCGGGCCTGGGGGGATTTATACGTGTGGTGGTTGCTTCTGCTGCTGTTTCTACTGCCGTTGCATGTCTGGTGTTTCTGTCTTATGTCGTGTTATGTTGTGGTGTCGGTATTGGACTCGGAGGAGGTTTCTGGTATTGAAAGCGGTAGTCACTATGCCGGGGAGGTGAAGAAGGGAGGGAGGAAACGGGGTGCTCTGCCAGCTGGCGGTGATGGTGCTGGCGGTGATGGCGCTGGCGGTGATGGTGATGGCGTCCTGAGAGGTGGTAGGGGGGAATTATGGAGGCGCCCCCTTCGGGCGTGTCGGCGTGGCGTTTGCCGGTTCGCTTTATTCTTGGTGTTGTATCAATTAGTGCGGCATGGTAGCAGCCTATAGGTGGAAGGGCTAAGAGAACAGTTGAATCTTGTTCGGTCTGTTGCTACGGATATGGTTGTGGAAATAGGGGGTGGGTGTCAATTGGGGAGCCACGTGACGGTTTGCTGAGCTGCTGCCTTTGGATGCCAATCTCACAAGTTAACATCGTGGTTATGCTGGTATCAATCTGAGGTTCACGCGAGAATCTAAATATTATTCTACAGGCCTTATACTCACCTGTGATGTGTAAGTTTTGAGAGTCCTGAAGGAAAAGACAAGCCAACGGTGGTGGAACCGCTGAGCTGTACGGGTTAGGGTTAGCCCGGAGGGTCTATGTTGAGTGGCACGGACCACACGAGCCAGGGTCGGCTGGCTTGCAGATGACGGAATTCTCCTCAGCCAGCGGCGTGCTGGGCTGCATCTGTGGACCTGGCCAAGATTCGAAACGAAGCCCGAGGATTCCCTACAGTTCAAGCTGTTCGTTCCGTGGCACAACACCAGAACATCGCGGCAATTCATTCTCCTCTCGTCCTCCCTGCTTTGGGCGAGTTTTGTTCTCTTCTTGTCGCTCGTGGAACTTTTTCCTTCCTGTTTAATTCCGTTTGTTGCTTCTCTTGTCCCCGACTGCACCCAGCAAAGACGCACACGACAGTCACGGTCCAAGTACATACATCACAGGGATTACCACAGCGTCCAGGGCAAACACCGTTATCCGACCCCGGCAGGGCGGCCCATACCCACATACATAATTCGCCGTGCTCACCTACAAGTTCTTATCAACCAAAAGCCATGTGGAAGAAGCCCGGTTCAGAAACGGCGTCGCTCTCGTCGCTGCTGCTGCTGGTCCTGGCGACGCAGCCGGGGCCGGCCGCCGCCGTGCTCAAGTGCGACCCGCTCGTCGTCGATGGGCGCAACTACAACCTTCACGCGCTCGCGGGTCCCCACACCGTCGTCACTCACGAGTACGTCCGCCCGACGTACCACAACACCACTTACACCATCGACGTGTGCGCGCCCCTGCGGAGGAAGGACGACGTACCCAAGGAGCAAAGGTGTCCTGACGGGACGAGAGGTAACATCCTCTTCCAACATGCTAGTGGCTTATCAGAAACTCGGTGGTACCGGGGGCTAATGTGGGCTGATTTTCAGTATGTGCGATCAAACACCGGTGGGATCCCCAGTCCAAAAAGAGCGAAACAGACCAAGTCATACCCATCGTGGTCGGCCACGACGGCAAGCCGTTCGCGTGGGAGGCCAAGATCCTGTCCGCCGACGAAGACCCGGAGAAGAAGGACGCCCAGAAGGAAGGGCTGCGGCTTATCATGTCCGGTAACTCATACCAGCAGCGCGCGCAGCGGACCGTGGTGGATTTCCGGTGCGACCCGAACCTGGAGGGGACCGAGAAGGAATGGGAGTCGATAGACGAGTACCTGCCGGCGGACGGGAAGAAGGCGGAGAAGAGGAAGAACAGCCGGCGAGATGAGAAGGGAGATTCCGGGGACGGGGACGACGACGACGACGCCAGCACCCCGGAACGGCAGCTCAAGAAGGACGGCGCCGCTCTTGTTTGGAACGGCTACCGGCGCGACAAGGACGACAATGGCAAGGACACGGACACGTTGTATCTGACGTGGTACACGAAGCACGTCTGTGATGCCGCGTTGGAGGAACCGGCTGCGGAAGCTAAGCACTGGGGGTTCTTTACGTGGCTGGTCATTATGTAAGTTGGCGCTGTTCTCCATCTCCTACCCGTCCTCCCAAGTACGGCAGGTCAACTGACATGTGGTGCAAAAAAGTGCCTTCCTCGCGGTGGCGTCGTACCTCATCTTTGGCTCGTGGCTCAATTACAACCGGTACGGCGCGCGCGGCTGGGACCTGCTCCCCCACGGCGACACGATCCGCGACGTCCCCTACCTGCTCAAGGACTGGACGCGGCGGGTGCTCAATACGGTCCAGGGCAGCGGCAGCAGGGGCGGGTATTCTGCCGTTTAGCGGGGCTGCCGTGGACGGGGTGCAATAGAGTACTGCGGCTAGATTTTGAGTACTGGTGCTGACGCTGTTGTTGTTGTTGTTGTTGTGTTAATGGGCGATTCATGATTGTGGTTGTTGGGCTTGTGTATGCTCTCGTCTGGAGTTGAAGCCGGCATTGGCATGGGATGGACTGGAATGGTGTTCTGGTGGCTGTACAAGTGCACTGATGGAGTTTGAACATACAGAAGTACTCCAGAGTTATTATTTGCATCCTATGGACTTTTGGATTATCTAGATCCTGTATTGCTGTGGGTTGTGCTCTTTAGAAAGTAAAGGTGGCTGCCGCTGCGTGTGCGTGGTTGGGGATGGGAGCTATGATGCTATCACATGCCGCTGAGACGAGGTCCACTTTACTTCCCAAGGATGCTCAACCAGCAGCTTTCCCACTCCAACAACGCGATGCCATTGACAGTGCTGCCGGCTGTATTGTTAGAGGTTGTGATCAAGTTCCCTCGTAATAGGATGGGCGATTAAACGCTAATTGGTGTCTGTTTGAGCAATCACCTTGTGATCTCGGTATAAGTACATAATCCATCGAGCCGAGGTAATTCTGGAACGGGCAGCCAAGCATTCTCACTCCATCTCATGATTCTCATCCGAAGGCTCACTCAGATCCGGTAACTCACTTACATGAGACCGACCGTTCATCGCATTTCCACCCTTCATCAACCCTTAACATACTATCTCCAACATCACACTCTACACTCTCACACTCTCAGAATGACACAACCAACACCACCCCTCTTCACGATCCCCATCCCTCCCCTAGGCCCGCACCCAGGCGGCACCATCGTCGCCACTGAGCCCGCGCCCGCCGTCTACCTCCTGACCATCACCTCGCCGCCCGACAACCGGCTCACAACCGCGTCATGCACCGCCCTGCTCGACGCCCTCGACATGATCCAGTGTGGCGGGTACCCGCCGGGCGTCCTAGTGACCACGAGCGGCGTGCCCAAGTTCTACTCCAACGGCCTTGATTTGGAACATGCCCTTTCCACCGAGGGGTTCCTGCCGGGTGTGCTGTTTAGGTTGTTTCATCGATTGTTGACGTTCGTCTTCCCCTATTATAACCCCCTCCCCATTAGCTGAATACTGATGGGTATATGTGTGAGGTGGGATGGCGATAGATACCCCATGCCCACAATCGCCCTCTTACCGGGCCACGCCTTTGCCGCGGGTCTCATGCTCGCCATGCACCACGATTATCGCGTCATGTCCCCCTCCAAAGGCTACGCGTGCGTGAATGAGCTTGATTTCGGCGTTCCCCTGAAACCGGCCATGAGCAGCATCTTCCGGATCAAACTCTCACCCCAGACCTATCGGACGTTGGTCCTCGAGGCGCACCGGTTTGGTGGGGCTGCTGCTGTTGAGGCGGGCATTGTAGACCGGTTGGGGGGGCTTGATGAGGTGTTGAAGCTGGTCGAGGAGAGGAAGTTGATGACCAAGGGTAAGACGGGTATTTATGGGCTGCTCAAGGCCGAGATGTACCGCGAGAGCTTAGCGCTGCTGAGTGCCGAGGGCCATGCGGATGGGGAGAAGAGGGAGAGGGAGCTGGTTGCGGCTGAGGAGAGGCGCAGGGAGGAAGGGGAACGGAGGGTGCAGGGGTTGAGGGAACAGGAGAAGGCGAAGTTGTAGATATCTAGACGGTGCTTAGGGTGAAATAACTACTTGAACTGAACTGAAATGAACTGTGTGCAGCAGAACTAACTATCCATGTTCTGAGCAGTTGACCCTATTCGACTTGTGTCACTGACCACTCGACCATCACAGAGTATATATATTCCCAACCGTCATCATTCATTTTATCTATCTATTCATATACCTTTTGTCCAGCACCCATTTCATTTCATGAATTCATTCATGCTCAGCCCAGAACCCAACTCCATAAACCCCCCCATCCACCATGTGCCAGCCACGAAACCGACCGATCAACCGTCACTGGTCATGATGATATTGACAAAAAGTCCTGCGCTTCAAGCCTCACAATCTTTGCGCTAGGGAACCTAACTCCTCCGTTCCGATCAAGAATAAGAATATAGCAAGCAACAAGTCCCCAAGAGACAATGTAATAAAAGTAATAATACCACGACGAGAAAAACAATGCAGGGTATGTCAACATACTAATAAACCCAGGTTCCCAAAAACGCCCTCTCCTCCCAGGTTGCAACGACGCTGTTAGAATACGGGATAAGGGGAACAGGAAACAGGAAACAGCGAGTAGCACCGTCTCCATATCCCATACCCCATATCCACATCCCCATCCTTCCCTTGTAACCATCAATAAACACAAACACAAAACAAGAAGATAGTGAAAGAATACATCATTCACTAACCGACCCCTCGTCATCATCCCCCTCCATCCCCGCCTCCCCCTCCTCCCGATCCAAATCCACCACATGCCCCTGATGCCCATGCCCATTCCTCTGCGCCACGACTCCCAACCCCATCTCGGCGCGCGTGTCCCTCTGGATACGGAGGAAATACCTCCTGAGGCTCCTCAAACCCCTAAGAAACCCGCGGTCCGGTTCGCCCGGGTGCTTGGGCGGGCAGGGGCGGTCCTTGGCCAAGTCTGCAGCCGTCACACAATTCGCAAAGTCGGCCATTTTGAAGTCAATCTCCTTCCTGTTCCGCTTCGACCGGCTGCGGGGTGCCTCCTCCGTGTCCGTCGCGAAATCCGTCGTCGAGTCCTCCACCATGCTGTAACCGTTGTTGTTGTTGTTGTTGTTGTTGTTGTTGTTGTTGGTATTATTACTATTATAATTGTTGTTGTTACTTGTGTCGTCGCCGTCATAAAACATCAGCAGGCTGGCCGCGTAAAAGCGGTACCCCCGCAGGCGCTTGATGATGACCTCGAGCTCGTCCAGCTTCTGCAGGACGGTGGGGATGTGGCGGAGGATGCTTGACGGGTCGAGGCCGTCGTACAGAAACCGCGTCAGCGCCGCCTGGAATTCCGGGCCCTTCTTCAGCTCGCGCCCGTAGTACTTGTCCTTGAAGACATAGCTCTGCGTGGCCACGTCCCACACCTGCAGCCCGCACAGGCGGACGCCCAGTTCGCGCGATGTCGTCTGCGCGCACTTGCCCTGCTGCGATTTCTGTTTCTTGGGGCTGGCGTCGACGCCGTACTGGCGCGTCCCCATCTTGAGGTCCATGATGCAGGGGCGCTTCATGCCGGCTGTGAGATCCTCCAGGAGGAGGAAGTACTCGACCCGAGAGTCGCGCTGCGTCTGCGCTTCCTTGGGGTTGATCGGCCGGGGAATCTTGTTGTATTCGAAGGCTGGGGTTGGGCCGCGAGACTCCTGATAGCCTTCAGCATTCCCGTTGGTAGAGCCACATGCGAAGTGTTGGCGGCGTGGAGACGGCTTTCGCGACTCAAGAGGCGTAGACTCCTCACGGTCGCCTTTGTAACCCGCTTCATCCGCCTCTTCAAAATACTTAAGGTCACCCCGGTCGTCCCTAACATCCCGTGGTTTCCGGCGGAGACCAGTACCAGAATAGCGGCGCTTCTTCTTTTGCGCGGGTGACGAATCTTTCAGAATCTCGGGCTCGGGGGCACTAGTCCCTGTCACGTCCTTCGGCGCATTTTCATCATCAACGTCGCAGTACTCGCGTGTCGGCCCCAGATCGCTCCGGGTCTGCGCGAGAGGGCTGCTACCGTTCAGGTGACCAGACTGCCCGCCAGTGCCAGCATCGGTCTGGATTCTCGTCTCGTTCGATACCATCAGGCTGGGATCGGAACCGGACTGTCTGAGCGTTTGCTGGAGGGCCCGCCGGGGAACTGGGCGTCCCTGGTGTCCCTTTCGGTGGCGATGGATGGCAATCGGCTGCTTCAGGAAGGCGTCATTGAAGACTTCATTGCGCAGTTTCTTGTTCACTGTCGTGGCACCCCAGCTGTTGGCATGACGGTCCTGGAGGCTCGGGCGTGACCCATTCTCCCGACTTTCAGAACCACTCCCACTCTGGCCTTGAGGCTCTGATCCGGTTCCAGATGCGGACGTACTCCGAAAACGGCCAGAAAAACTCGTGAGGTTCGCAGTCGGCTGCAGGAGATTTCGCGGCAGGATGTGTTGATTATCGACAAACGTGACGGTTGGTATCTGGCCGGAAGAAGATGAAGATTGGAGCGACTGGCTGACCACCCTCGGGCGCGCGTCAGAAACTTGGTGCTCAGAAGGCTGGTGTGTGACGTCGCCTAGTGCGGTTCCAATAGCGCTCCCGTTTGCGCCGGGTTCGCTCAGATCGCCTTGCAAGCGCTCCGGCGCAGTGACCTCGTCACGCCTGATAGTCGACTTGCGGCGCGGTTGCTTCTGGAACGTCACGTTCAAAACCCCAATGTATCTTGACAATGCCTGGTTAGCCAGTGTCGGGCTTGCCAAAAAGAGAAACAGACGAGTAACGTACCTGGGCAGGAAAGCAAGGAGATCGCGATGATACTTCTCGACCTTCTCGTAGAACTCATTCTCGCGATTGTTCAGCTGCTTACACACAGCTCGGCGAGAAAACCTCCAAAGGGTGGTGTGCCCTCCAACCTGATGCTTATAGGGAATGAGCTCGATTGCCTCCAGCGGTTGCCTGGGACTTAACTGGTGGTCGTGGGCCGCTTCGTCAAAATACTGGGAAACCGGGCGAGAGCGGTTTGGCGTTGGGGCATCAGGTTCACGTTCATCAAGAACCACGGGTTCATCAACCTGCCTGAAGGCTACCTCTGAAGCTACACTGGGAGTTTCTGCAGCGTCTGACTTGATCTTTGTTTCGTAATCCACGCTGTCCTCTTTATCATCCACTTCGGGCTCATCAGCCTTAACAAGCCAGGGATGGAAATCATCGTGTCGCGAATGCTTTCTTGACAGAGCGGCTCTCTGGAGCGCACCGGGCACCGGTGAATGCTCCCGCGACTGCTCGGGTGTCTGATGCGGTAAGAAGACGGCTGACGAGATCTTTTCCTCGCTAGACTCATCGCCTTCCTCAACAACCTCCCCGAGTTCGCCACCAGCATTATCAAATCCGCTCAGCGGTTCTAATTGAGGGCCTGGCTCGACGTCCTCATGAGCGCCCGACTCCGGGCCGGGCGGTCCCGGTTTGGTGGTCGCATCCCGCCCAGAGGGATCGCCATGTCTCGGGAGGAAGTACTCTTCGGGAGACCCCCGAAGTGGATGTACGTCTGGAGTACGCGCGGGCAAAAAGTGAGACTGGTCCTGCCCTTCTTCGACGTCGACACTCTGGGCCTTCTTCCCTTCGCCGCTTTTGGACAGCTCTTCAATGTCAGCAAGCTTCTCCCCTCTGACGGGCGACTTTTCCCGCGCGGGCAGCACAATACGCGAGTCCTTCCGCTTTCCCTTCTCTTCAGGAAGACCTTCCTTGAAGAAGCGAAGGCTGTGACTAGCCTTTCGGCTGCGTGCATTGGGCTCTACGCCCGCGAGAACCTCGGTGATGGACTTTTCAACCTGGCCGTCTTGGCCATTCGCCACATCCCCCGAACCGATCGACCATGCCTTCTCCGGGCCCATGGACACCCGGTGATCAGATTTCCATGTTCTTGGCCGAGGACGACCCTCAGTCTGGGCGTGCTCATCAGAGCCCTCGCCGAGAAGGCTAGTGGGGGAGTCAGTGAAGGGCGGGGAGCTGAGGGCGCTGCTGACGGCCGTGTCGTGGGGATAGGTACCCGACCGGCCCGGCCGATCGCGGCCCCTTGCCTCCCTCTCGGCTGGCTCAAACGGGAGTCTGTCTTTGTTCTTGACGAGGAACTCGCGGTGGCCGTTGAGCATCGAGTTGACCTCGCCAAGGTCTAATCTGGAAAAGGGAGGCGGGGTTGCCGTGGTGCACGTGGTGGTTGAGGAAGCCATCGTCGTCGACCTTCGAGGGGAGAAACGAGATGCTAGAAAACTGCCATCGTTCTGACGGGCCGTGGACTCGCGAGGCTCATGAGAACTCAGAGAGGGAGCGGAAGAGGTGTGGTTCTGTCGCGGGATGCCTCGAGCTGTCGCAAGAGCCTGTGTCAGCAGGGAGGGGCCATTGGGCCTCTGCAGATGGGCAGGACCCCGAGCGTATTTAACGGCATCTGCATGGGAGGAAGTGAGGGCCGGGGGGGCAGGGGCAGGGGAAGGGGCAGGTGTGCCGTGCTGGGCGGTTGCCGTTGGTGGTTGTGGTTGTGGTTGTGGTGGTACCGACGAGGGGGACCCTTCTTCCTTTTCTTGCGTAGCCGGGGGATTGGGAAGATGGGGCGGTGGCGCGTCCGAAGGGTAATCGGAATTAGATTTGTTCGGGGAAGAAGCGTCGCCAGCGGTCCGGCCGGGACTCACCACTGCAGCAGCTGCGGCATTTTCGGGAGTAAGGGGCGTGTTGGACATGAGGTGAACATCTGGCGGGTGCAGGCGAAAGAGGGAAAATGTAATAGCAAGATGGATGGATGGGGGAGGATTGGCGGGAAGCCCATAAACTTTTTGGAGAAAGTTGGCTAACCCGCTGCAGCAAGCCACAGCACACTCCCGCTTTCGAGCTCTCCCAGTCACACACACACACCTCACAACCTCACACAATAACTCAACAACGCACAGCGCACACAGATATTTGGCCCGGCTTCGCAGGCAAATAGCGATGGTGCAAGCAACCAAGACGTTGCAGTGTTGCACCGGTAGAGATGTACCGCGAGCAGGTGTGCGTAGTTGATTGGACCCCAAAGGGAGCGATTTCGGTCTCGGTGCAGGGAGGATGCAATTGATATGATGGAAGATAAGAAGAACCTTAACAAGCAAATGGGCGCTTTGATGCTTTTTTTGCAGGATGTCGACCTCTGACGCAAAGGGCGATCTGGAGGGTGGCTATGTTAACCTTAGGCTGTGTGTGGTGGGGCGCCTCTTTTGCCCACTTCAATTGGTGGTGGGGTCCACTTACCTAACGTTGGCAAATGCTTGTCCCGCCTCTGGGGAAGGAACTGGGTACCGTACCGAACGGGACCTGTCATCCACTACGCCAACGTCGAGGTTATCAGTTGCCTTGGCTTCATCAAGTTTACCAGCCATTGTCACTGCAGGATGGAAGGCTAATTGCTACATTATCGTCTATCTCCGAAAACATTCGCCTGGGCAATTATCTTTGGAATTGTCCCCCACCACCCTCAATGTACATAAGCTGCAGGCAGCTTGATAATGGAGGCTCAGCAACCGAATTCTGGAGATAGCGATGATAAGTCACCGCCAGGTGGAGCCAGGGCAGTGGGAGGTTTGAGGGGTCGAGCCGTCGAACCGTCGTCAAAAGGACCCGAGCCTTTTCTGCATGGAGCCGCTCCGACCGCCAACTCATTCAATTGGCAGCCCTTCGGTTTACGCAACAAAATCTACGATCCAGATCACGTTGTGCTGCTTCGGGACATGACAGGCTTTTTGGCCCGCGGGAAAACTTCCCATTGGACCGACAGCATTCGCAGGCTTGGTTGATGGAACGGGTAGATATCGTCGACGTTCAACATGGTCCATCTGGCAGATGTTGGTAATTATTAGGTAGGTATGAAGCACCTTGCCCTACCGCATTATTATCTGACTCGCGCAAACCAGAACAATGGTTTGTTGTTCTGTAGTACTTTGGCAGACCTTCGAAGCACCGGCGGACTTCTCACAACACGGCATCTTGCAGCCCTGCGAAGTACATACAAACACCTCTACGAGCACCTGCTTCAACGTTTATTAGTTACATTGTTATCGTGCATGGCCCTTTCGCCTATCATCTTGAATCGTGTCATGACAGGGCCCGCAACTTCGTGGAACAACAGGCCTCGAGCGCCAATCATGCGAAAACGTGGCCTCGGCAGCCGCTTCGCCAGGTCGCCCCGTCTCTACCGTTCAAAGTACAGTACGTACTACGGACACTACACTAACGTCTTCTTTCGTACAAACCCTGCCGTCAAACAATTGCGCTGAAAAGGCCTGGTTTGTCCAGCCTTCCTCGTTTCAGCACAGATCCATAGATCTGGTTGTCTGACGGATACTGACGTGTTTCTGGACAGTCCCGAGAAATGGTACAGACACGTACCTTGCAGTACTGCGGCCAGGGCTAATGGAGACTGGGTTGGTGAACCTGAACCTTCAACACTTAGGTATGGTGCCCTGCGTACTGTCCTGTACATACGCTTGCAGTGACTGCATAGCGGCAAGCCCGAGCTTGGAGCCGGATACCCGGACGGTCCAAACCTAGTGTCCGCCAGTATGTGCAGTACACTAGCGCATGCTGCTTTTGCTCCTCGGCCTTGATGTGCTCAACATAGACAAGGCGCCGGAGTCAGCCTCATCGCCTTACTCGGTGGCCGTTTCCGGAATCGATTCAATAGCCGGCCAAGGCAAGGTTGGCCTTTCCACGCTCATCCTGTTTCAAGCTTGGCCGGCAATCGGTGGCAGATGAGGCTCTACATGGATGTGCTGCCGGGGCTACCGAGACTTCATCTTAGCTTAGGCTTGATCCAGCAGTACTGGGAGGTGCCCTGAGAACGCCCAGACCAGTGCCGTAATTCCCCTACACCGGTTGACCCCTTTGTTTTACTCTATGTTTCCTCGAAGGTTGTTGTTTCACTGCAGCCCGTACCAGACTCGGGTGATGTTTGATTCCCAGAATGGATAGGTTCTTCCTGAATTTCCCCTATCCCGGTTCCTAACATATGGATACGACAAGCAGGTGTCTCTAGTCCCCAGTCTCTACGAATACTCAAGAGCGCCTTTTAGAGAAGCCTTTGGTCCGTGCCTAAGGGGGCATAAGCCGCAGGAACACATGGCTAAATCATTGGCTCTCCGGGGGCCGGCTTTTGCTCGAGACGAGCCTCCTGGTAAAGAGCACTTGGACCTCACACTCGTTTCCGTCCTGGAGGCCTCCCCGTGTTTCCCCATTGAGAAACGCACACGTGTCTGCGATCCGGACCGGTGGGTTGCTGCCTCTCCGCGTGCGAGGTGCCGGACGGCTCATAGGCGGGATGGGCGGTACTCGGCCCCGGGGCGGTGAACGCCAACTGCGTGTGTCGCCAGGTTTATGGGATGAAGCTGGATCCTCAAGTCACGGGACTGCAATCCTGGATCAAGGTCTAAGAAAGACAAGGCCACTGGTCTTGATTCTTGCTCGCAGGAAGGATACAGGGGAATGTAGAGTGTCGGTGAGCCCGACGGGGTCAAGTAAAGCCGTCTGGCGTACTTCGTCCCCAGCATAGTTCCGAGTCAGTCTCCTGGTACTACAGCCAAAGGTATGTGGAATTTCACTTGAGGTGTAAAGAGTGTAAAAGACTGGAGGTAAATCGGGGTGTTCTGTAAAGAAGGGCGCTTCGCATATCGCATTGATACCAGAGCTCGCCATCATGACCCCGAAAGCGAATCAGGAGGAAGTGCTATGATTCAAACACGCTAATGGTGTACAACATACCGCATAGTATACTATACCACATGACCGACGGGCGTCTCCTCATCTACATTAGTGTGCGTCGGGGGTGTCACAGCATTTCCGGCCTCAATATTCACTACGAAGGACGTCGAACCAGATTCGAGATTAGCTCCAGTCCGAGACTCCAAATGAAACCGGACATTGGTGCCCGTCACTTGGGTCTGCTCTGCGCCTACCACCGATACAAAATGTTATGGTCGATTTGCTGTACCCGTGCCTCAAACTCCCTATCCAGCCCTACATGTAGCTCCCTATCTAGGTACTTTGTAGTCTAGAGCACCGATAGGGGAACTACTAGTAATAGCCGAATTTGAATCAAGTCCCTTGATACACCCAGTGACCCAACGTAGTTGATCTAAGCTCCTATGACGAGGTGTATCATCTTACTACCAGAGTACTTAGTAGTGATATCACCAATGCTCTGTAGAGACCTTGGGCGGTATGAGAGAACTGAGTAGTCCAGCAACCTAATGGAAACAGATCTGTGGGATACATGTAGTCGCAGCGGTGGTAGATCAGCTCTGCCTCTGCTACATGTCCTAGGAGTCTGTCTCTAACCCCTCGTGTCTCTATGTTATATATCTAGTTCTAGATCATCAGCCGGCAAACAACTGATACTCGGAGCGTGGACTACATTCTTCACTAGAAGCCAACATCCTCCTAATCCTTAAGAAAGCCTGCAAGCAACTATGATTCCCTCAGCAAAGTAAGCAGTTACTAGTAGCAGGATGACAACATAAAGCCCTAGCCTGAGACCTAATAACTTGAACTTGGACTTGACTCGAAACCTAATTTCAGGTCGATGACAATGTTGAACATAACAGCAAGTGACAGCTCCATAACAGGCTAGTATACCTCCGTATCAGATGCAAATGATAACATGCATATGATAACATGCCAATGATAACATGCCAATGATAACATGCCAATGATAACATGCCAATGATAACATGCAAACCTCTGTCTGAACGCCCGGGCTCGAATATGATGGTCTGCTGCTCTAGCCTCAAACGCCCCGCACCACCGAATGCGGTATGCTCAATTACAGTCAGTCAGATGTTCACCTCAAGACTTTACCATACCGTAGTTGCTGACTCCAAGCCAAGTGAGCTCCCTGCTCCAGGGTATACGTCCAAAAGATAGGGGAATAAAAAAAAAAAAAACAAAAAGGAGAATGCAGAGCCAAACCACCAATCCCAGTTCCTCAAAGTCTCGAGTAAGTACCAGCACTAGTACCCCCATTAGACCTTGGTACTAAGCAACCACGCACCAAACCCCTATTAATCAATCAGGGCAGGGAGAAACCGTCAGGACAGGACAGGACAGGACAGGACAGAGAGGAGTGGGCCAACATCGCGACATAGCCCGAGGCCATATACCATAAGGACAAGTCAAGTCAAGTGCAAGTCAGTCCCAGACGCCGACATCAATCAACCCTTCTTCATGCCCGTCTAGACTGGCCCCGGACATTACCACCCCCATCCCCTCACGCTCTTGAAGCCCCTGGGCCTGCCGCCGCTTCTGAGCACTCGCGCTCGTCCTCATGCTGGCGAGCTCAGCATCCAGATCCCAGATACCGCCAATGAAATCGTCCAGGTTTTCCAGGACGGCGCTGACGTCGTCTATCGGCTGCTCCTGTGACACTTCCCCTTCTCCGTGACTTTCTTCTCCGTCGGGTTGAACATCGACCTCCAGCCGGCTAGCTTCCTCTGTCCCTTTCTGATTCTCCTCCGACGCGCATGATGATTGTGAGGAGGATGGTCGTGACTGTGGCCGTGACTGTGAAAGCGACAGTGGGTGTATTTGTAGCAATGGCAACGGTTCAGCCACATCCACCCCCTTATCCATATCCATTCCAGCATCCGCATGCACATCCACATCCAGATCACCCCCCTGCTCCTGCTTACCATTGGCATCCAGCCCCTGACAAAATCTCCCATCGCCTCCACGGTGGCAAACATCCGCATCACCATCACCATCAGCACCAGCAACAGAATCAGCGCGCCGAAATGCCTCAGCCATGGCGTCAAAGGCCGGGCTGGGACAGACCTGTTGCGACTCGCTGGGCAGGAGCCGTCGTATTCTTTGCGGCGGAGGAGGAGGACGCTGGGGTGTCTGGGTCTGGGTTTGGGTGGCAGCAGCAGCAGCAGCAGCAGCAGCAGAAGCACCAGTAACGCGGCGGTTGGCCAACACGGCAGCAAAGTGTTTTGCAAACTTTTGGTTTGTGTCGGTCGGGAGTTTGGACGTGATTAGAATGCTAGGTGGTGGGGAACCAGGCCTTGAAGTAGGACGGGCACGGGGTCTGGATTTGGATTTGGATTTGGTGATGCTATTGACAGTTCTACTGCCACCGCCACTGCCACTGCTCGGTGGGAGGTCGGTGTTGGTTGGTGAATTCAAGGGTGAGTCTGAGTTTGAGTTCGGGTCAGTTGTAGTATCTGGGCTGACGGCAGGGTTGCCTTCTTCATCTGGGAGTGGTGCCCAGAAGACATGCTTCTTTGCTCTCTTGGGTTGTGGACTTGAATCCCCAGTCCAAGGGTTGGACACGGCAGCGTCCAGGAGAGCTTGGGTGCTTGGAAGATGGCTGTCGGAATGGGCGGAGATTCGCCGTTTCTTCGCAGGACGCTCGGGAGATGGGGTCATAAAGTCCCTGAAGGACTTGACCGGGAAGGTGAAATCTGGCGTTGGCAGGCCCGACTGCTTCGTTTCCGGGGTAGAGGGGGGAAGAGGGCACAGCTGGGAATTGCACATCTCAATGTCCTCCTCAGGAGTCGTGTCCTGAAAGGGAGAGACCGGATGGGTGGCCGTCGGTAGCACCGCGCTGTTGGCGGGTGAGGATAGAGGATTGAATGCTGCATGTTGTAATTGGAGCTGCGAATCGCCTCTTGCCCAGGGGCTCTGCGAGGCTGCCAGTTCGAGTGCTTTGCTAGCGGTGAAACTCAGTTTCAGGGCAGCGAGATCAAGGAGAGGCAGCTGCTCTGCGACCTCTGTGGCGTGAGAGGTAAGGCCCATATCCTTCGTCCAGGGGCTTTGGGTATCCACAAGATCTGTTTTCTCCCTAATTCCGCCATTTCCAGCGGTGCCGACGTCGTCCACTCTAGGGAGAGGCTGCGCGTCTTCCTTTGCCCACGGACTTTGGATTTCCGCCTTCGAGCTTTCGAACTCCAGCTGCATTTCGATTTCGGCTTCAGCGTTGTCACTGATTTCAGCACATGTATGCTCCTGCAGATCCTCCTCCCCCTTTTCGCTTTGCCGATCGCTTTCTACACCTTCTCCCGTCATGGGTTCTGCCTGTTCTTGGACGATGTCACCAGGGATAGGGGTCAGGACCTGTTTCGAGCTGACTGTCGGTTGGCCTTCGTGCGGCACTAAAACTTCTTCATCTCCACTCGCACGTTCAGACCCGATTTCAGAATCCTCTCGGGTGGAACAGTCGTGGCTAGGTGCGACAGCTTGCAGTTCATTCGTGGTAGGAGTACGTTCTTGGCCCAGGCCGAACATTGGCATTGGCGAATCATAACTGTCAATCCTTCTCTGTGATTTGGGCCAAAGCAGTCTTCTGGGAGACCCAATTGCTTCCGAAACAACGTCTTGAGAGTGCTTCTCAAATGAAAAGTTCCCGAGGCTGGGCGTGCTGTGATGTTCAGAGTCAAACGAGGACCCGGAACACACTAGTGTCGGTCCGTCGACTTGTGAAGCTGTTTCAGAAGCATCATACTGCCCTTCTCCAGAATGAACGCCCGGTTCTGGCGGCTGGCCATTCACCGGTTCTGCTGTTTGGCCAGGTTCTGGACCAGGTAGGTTTTCGGGCGTCGGCTGCCCTTCAGCCTCGGCCGTAGCAGTAATAACTTCTTGGACACTAGTCGGTGCGCTGCTCAGCGGAGAACTTGGAGCCTCCGTCGGCTGATTACTGTTAAGTGTCTCCTTGCCCTCCATGGGTGGACGGTCTCTGGAGTTTGGCCGCTGTCCTGAGTCCTCACTTGCAGATTGCAGACCGGACAACTTGGTGGTAACTCGAGACGATTTGAGCATCTCTTGGCGATCCTTGCGTTTGTAGCGAAAGCTGCCATCCGTGCGGGCGCTTAGCTGTGTCTTAACCTTGACCGAAGATACCGTTGCTTCCGGGAGACCTCCGCTGGGTGTGCTGACGTTTCTGGCTTCCCTATTCTCCTTTTCTGCCAGTGTCGGTATTGGAGGTGCTCTGGATGGTGAGTCGTGCGCTTCAGCCTCCTCCGTGTAAGGGATACTACTCCTTCCGGTTCTCGACAGAACGAACTCCGCGTAAAGTTGCGCAGCAGGTGGAGAAAGGTCGCCGACATCTAACAGACATCGGTCCCTTGCTGTAGCTGACAGCTCCACATGCTGGGCTATATGGTTTCTGGCCGGCGTTTGGGTTGAATCCTCGTTGACCTGCGGCCGAGGCGACGCCTCTTCGGCTTCTTGTACCGAACTGTGTCGTTTGCTAGTATTTCTAACCACGGTTGGTGTGACAGGTGACGGGCTACTTGTGGGCCCGTTTTCTGCAGCAGGCAATTCTGGAACCGTGGCTTGCGTTGCCAGTTTTGAGTCCGGTGACGAGACTTCCGTCTGCGGAGTCTCTTGGGCCGCAACGACCTTGTCCCGCCAATTCCAAACTCTGCTGAACGTCTCATCATCTATGTAAGCTTCATGTGTCGCATTGTCTTGAGGTAGCGCGCTCTCGAAGGAGCAGAGGGGGTCAATGCTGGACTTGACGACGCCGCTGGATCCATTGCAATCCGCAGCCCTTTTTGATACCCGGGTACGCCTCCGGGGTTGGTTCGACTTTGTTCGAGATGAGGACTTCAAGGACCTTGAGCGCCAAGGATTGACCCAGCCCGACTTGCTGTCGAAGGGGCCGCGAAGAGAGGCAGAAAGTAGAAAGACAGGTTTGCCTTCCAGGAATCGTCGGGCCTGAATTTCGCAGCGGGCGCGGCGCTCGGTCGGGCTGTGGTAAGCCTCGTCGTCGGACCCGGAGTAGAGGACATCGTCGGGTGTGTGCGTGGCCTCGCAATAAAGCGGCTCGTTACAGAAGCGCTCGGGATCGAACCATTCCAGATCTGGGTTTCCAACAGTCGGATTCATTGTTGACGTTGGGAACAAAAATACATTGCATTGACGCCTATGGACACTTAGTCGCTGACTGGAACTTGGGGTTTGTAGAAGTCTTGAAAATGCTGCAATGGAGCCTTGGTTGCTGTATCCCGGGGATTCAAGCGCTGAGAGCACTGCGAGCTGCTGTTTTTGGTTGCTAGGCACTCAAATGAGTTGCCAAATCGATGTGGGTCGACGCGCTCTGCAACGCGGATCAATCGGGCGCGTCGTCACCTGATCGCGATGCAGACACTTCAAACCCTGGTCAGCGCCATGTCGGGCCGTTGCCACGGCAAACATCAGCCATGGCCAAGCTGACCAATGGTCATTCTCCTTGATGTTTACACCCCACAACGCGATCCGATGCTGCATCCGTGATCCAAACCCGACCAATAATCAATCCTCCTTGGGGGGTGCTTCCGATGACAAGCAGCAACTTTATCGTCGATGGCGCATACCTTACCCTACATCATTCCTCTTTTGAAGACAACCTGCCTTTGCAATAGGCTTTTGATGCCTGCATTCACAAGATTCTTGCGATGAATTAGTTTATCCGTACATTTCGATCACCATTTTAGCGACGCCTGGTTAAGGGTTGTTTCCTTCGAGACGACGCCATCACACATCCGACAACCGACATCCGCAACCCTCAGTCGCAACCCCGCCGCACGACTCATCAGGGATCCCACGTCTCGATGACGGCTCAATAGCAACGGCGCGCACATCTCCCTATCTATACCGTACAGACAATTGCACCCTTATACCCATTGCCCGACTCGCGCAGACACATTCACATACATTCACGCACACACCTACCCACACCGGGCGCTGGCGCAATGGGCCACGCCTGGCTGGACTCCCTCTCCGAGGACTGGGTGTCGCAGCCTGGATCCGCCGATGCATCCTTTACCGAACCCACCACTCCTGCCACTCCTGCCCCTCGCCTTCGGGATCCGAAACAAAAGATCAAGGCGGCTGCTAGTAGAATCCCGCGACTCAGTCCCCGTGTCAAGAAGCCTCGGCTTTCCATCGATGCCAACAGCAGCAACATTCTCAACGAGAGGAGCGCCAACGAGAAGCTGACGCCTACCGCTGCCCGTCGCACCCCTTCGAAACTCCAACAGCAGCTCGTTGCTAGCTCAAGCGGCGGTCGCGACTGCCATGCATGCCGCTCTGCATCGACTGCAACCCCCGAATCGATTGTTCGCAGAGCATACCTGCACCGAAAATCCCTGAGCGCATCGCCTTGCAGAGGGAAAGGGGACACCCCGGAGTGGAAGCGCCGCTTGGTTTACAACGAGTTGTCATATGGAGAGCAGCGGGACCTGTTCACTTCAGCAGGGACCGGGTTGGAGAACATATTCAGGCCCCCGCTGCCCGCACCAGAAGCCGCCATGGACGACAAAACCTCGCACCAAAAGAAGCGGCCACAATTCGACGACACTTTACCATCTAGCCCGCCTCCCTATCCCCACAACCACGAAAATGATCATGACCCCTCGACGGCCGAGGTCTACGTGGACGATTCGATGCAGGAACCGTCGCAGCAGTTACCAAGGAGAGCGCCAACATCGATGAGATACAGACGAACAGAAGAATCGGCCAACGCGAGCATGGATTCCAGATCCAGCATGCCGCCTAAGGATACTGGATCTAGAGAAACAGCCACGGCGGAACAGTCTGCATTATCGGTGGGGCTTGCAGGCGAATCCCGCAAGGCCAGCGGTAGGAGCGACCTGCGCTATGAGGATTTTAGCCCCATTTTGCTTGAGCGGCGCCAAGCCAGCAATGGCAAGACCATTTTCGGCCCGGCTGAGCTGCCTCCTGACGAGCTTCGCAAGCGATTGGAGAGGCTCCAGCAAAACCAGAGGTTCCTTATGGGGGATACCGATGAGGAGTCCATGGGTGGCGTGTCGGAGAGCCATGCCAAGTCGCGTAGTCTTGACACAACAAAAGCCCGCGAGCGACTAGGGGCCTTCGTCAACTTCCAAAGGGGTGGCCGGTCAGACGAGGGATCGTTCCGCAACCACGCGTTGAGCTCTGCTCTCAACGACACATCCGAACTCCACCCTGAGGAGTCGTTGCAGGCCAGCACACCCAAGCAATTCCCAACTGTGAGGGTTGAACGCTGGGACAGCTACGAAGAGACGACGACCCCTGCCCGGAGCCCCGAGTTGCCACCGGTTCCCAACCCTAGTCCGGAGAAGCGACCTGTCTCGTCGCAAAACAGCACAGGGAGCCCCTTGAAGCTTTTCCAGCCCTACGACACTTTCACCAACCAGACACTTCTAAGACGAATGAGCCAGTTTGAGGAAGAGCTGGGTGATCTCTCATTCTCGATAGCGCAGGAAGACGGCTACGACGACCGACGGCAATCGGCACACCTACCAAGGCATCGGCAGCCTTCTGCTCCGGCCAACAGGTTTGGCGCCGGGGAATTGGACGGATACGAGTTCAATGACGAATTCTCTCAGTCGTACGATGTATCAGGCTTGGACGGGGACAAGGAGAACCGGGGCCCGGATGGGGACTCGATGCAGCCATCACTTCCACCGATTTTCGAGCTAAGCTATTCATCCTCGCTATCAGAAGCCGAAGACCTAGTAGTACGCAGGCGGCGGCAAAAGTCTGTCACCTCCCGTTCGTCGCGGCGACCAGGGCGAGATATTCGAGCATCTTTTCCGCCGACCATCGGACCCGGACGAAGGGACACGAACGGCTCCGAAATCAAGCGGCCGCGCACATCACCCTCAAAAGACCCGACCCCAAAGCGGCGCAGGACGTTGAATAGGTCAGACGACGACCTGCTTCCCGCGGTTGATTCAATCAAGTCGTCGCATCAGGAACTGCAGTCCGTACTAGGCGGGAAACGGCAGGACATGCGCAGTAGCGGCCAGCAAGAACTGCGGCCTCGGACCCCTACACCAAGTCAGAGATCCTCGGTGCAGCGGGATCGTCCGCCCCTTGCCGAGATTGAAAAGACGCCGAGTCGTTCCAGCAGGCATTCGCAAGCTGCCACGGCTCTTCCAGTCGGAGCGTCGCTGGATACCAATCGGAAGCCATCCATCAGAACCGAGGACTTCATCAATGAAGCCAATAAGATCATGGCAATGATCCGCAGCAAGGCAGGGTTGCCGAGTGGACTTGCTAGTCTGGAGGAGTCAGACGCAGAGCACGGACAACCCTCGCCAGACCTAGAGAGTTCGTTCCAGGAGTCGACCCAGGAACCCTTTTCGCGTCCGCCCAGCCGCGAGGGACGTCCCCCTTTGAGGCGCCAGTCGACGAAACAGGAAGATCCTGAACTCGTTGAACGGCTCAAGAAGTACGAGGAAGCTAGCGACATGGGTGACATTATTTCTTCTTCCGTGCGTTCGGCAGCTCCCCCTCAAGAAGACATTCCCGTTGTTGGCGAGCAGGACGTGTCCAGGAGCGCCTGGGGTAGCAATGGCAGTCAAACATCACTTTCGGACGCCGAAGTAATCAGCGATCCACCGAACATCCGCATTTCCCGAAATCCCGACTGGGAGGAGCGAGAGTTCGCCTCTGGGCACAATGATAGCGCGCGTTCCCAGGGCTCGACCGGCCTACCCACCCAGTCTAGTGGAATGTCGGTGCCGACCGGCTCGTCGAGGGGTTCTTCGAGGGGATCCGAAGCGAGGAAAACAATTGCCCCGGAGAGCGTGTCACATCTAATCCCGGATCAAGTCGGGAGTATGGTGTTGGACAGGCAGCGCAACATGTGGGTCAAGAAGAAATCGCTGGCGAAGAAGTCTAGGGAAAGCTTCGTCCATTCGGAAGCGAGTGATGATCCGTTTGCCGATATTCCGGATTTGTCCGTCGACTTGACCTTGGAGATGCAGAACCTGAAGCTTGGAACCGCCAAGAAGGAGCCCTCAGCCCAAGAAAACCTTCCGCGCTCTGCGAGCCCGGCCAGTCCATCAAGGCCTCGCAGTGCTGCCTCGGCTCAGAAACTGGGTCCTGTTGCTGAAGCAACAGAGCAGACGATCCGTAGCCAACATCGCAATCATAACAACCTGACACAGAGGCCTCAGACAGCACCAGCGCGGTCGGAAGAAGAACTCGTTGAGCACGAAATAGGCATTAACGACGGCCGGGTGAAGGATCGTCGGCGACTTACCATCAGTTTCTCTTCCCCCATAGCCTCGGTGATTCAAGATGTGGCTGAGAATGGTGGCGTCACTGCTGGGGATGCCAACCTCACCGGGCAGGCTCACGAAGACCAAGTCGCAGACTCATCCCGGCGAGGCCGAAGGATAGTTTCGGTTCATACAGAATCGCGCAGCAAATCGCGGGGACCGTTGCGCCATCTCTCCGTCCGCGGCCACTCTTTGGTCGCCCGCCCCGTGTCCCGCATCGACGAGAGGGATGAAGAGGCTAGCCCGGGCCAGTCGTCGCAAGAAGGTGTTTCCGGCATGGAGCTCAGCATCGTGGGAGACCTCAGCGTTGTCGGCCCTGATGCGGATGCTGGGCAGCAAGCGAGCGTCAGCTGGATGCTAGCAACTCCGGCAAGGGGCCGGGATTGCCCCGCTGTCGACATGGACGGTGCTCCCATCATCGGCCAGTACGTTGGGATGCTCTCGCTCAGCCCGCTCTCCGACTTTACGGTGCATCGCGCGGACGAGTCGCTGCCTCTGGAGGTCAGTTATGTGCATGATGGCCACCATCTCGTCACAGGCAACCGGTCGAAGGACCGCTCCAAGCGCGTCATGTCGCTGAGCATACGCGAGCTCGTGGAGAAGCTCGCCGAGGTGGAGCCCTTTGAGCCGTACTGGGAAGATATGCAAGAACTGGATCTGCGCGGCAAGGGGCTAGGGGCTTTGCATACGCTGGACGAGTTTTGTGGACAGCTGGTGAGCCTCGACGTCTCCAGGAACAATATCCGGAATCTTGGTGGCGTCCCTGCCTCAGTTCGACATCTCAAGGCGACGGACAACCAGCTGTCTAGCCTTACAGCATGGAATCACTTGATGAACCTCCAATACATCGACGTCTCGAACAACGGGATTGGCAGCCTCGCACCCTTCAAGAACCTCGTCCACCTCCGCAGCCTGAAAGCCGACAACAACCGAATCACGAGCCTGGACGGCATCAAGTTCCATCGCGGCCTCCAGATCCTCCGCGTTAGAGGCAACTTGATTGAGACCCTCGACCTTGACGGCGCTACCATGGACCAACTGACCGAGCTAGATCTCAAAGACAACCGCATCCAGCACGTCGCCAACCTCGCCCAGCTAACAGCCCTGAACTCGCTCAACCTCGAGGGCAACCAACTCGAGACCTTCTCAGTCGAGCAACCCATGTCTTCCCTCCGATACCTGCACCTCAACGACAACAAACTCCTCTCTCTAGACCTCAAATCCCTCCCGCACCTCCGCCTGTTGCACGCCGACCGGAACCGCCTCGTGCGCATCGCCGGCTTTTCCCGCGCGCGGAAAATCGACAGTCTCTCCCTGCGTGAACAGCGTGGCGACGCACCCCTGGACCTACCGCATCTCCTGAGCCGAGCGTACGAGGTGCGCAAGCTGTACCTCTCCGGCAACCTCCTCAGCAGCGCTGGATTCGACCCGCCTACGGACCTGCTCAACCTCCAGCTGCTGGAGATGGCGAACTGCGGGCTGACGGGGTTACCGGACCATGTGGGGCTTGCGATGCCCAATCTGAGAGTGCTTAATTTGAATATGAACGCCCTGCACGTGCAGGACTTGACGCCTCTGAGATGCGTGCCTAGGTTGAAGCGGGTTTCGCTTGCCGGGAATAGGTTGGCGGAAGCTGCTGGGTTGGTTGAGATCTTTGCGGGATGGAGGTATCTTAGGGAAGTGGATGTGAGGGATAACCCCGCTACGCAAGGGTTTTATGCCCCGCCCACTATAATGAGGGTCGTCGTTCCTCGAGCTGGGAAAAATAATGCAGAGGGAGAGGGGCAGTTGGACCGGGATGGGGATGGGATTGGAGGTGATGCGGGAGGGGATGGGTTTGCCCTGCCGGACCAAGACCCGGACCGTGATGCAGGGTATTGTGGGCGGTTGGATATGCATACGCGTATGAGGAGACGGCTGTGGGAGGCTATGGTCGGAGCGAGGTGTGGGAGGGTGAGGAAGTTGGATGGGTTGCCTTTGAGTCTGTCTTTGGTGCAGCAGCAGAAGGGGAATGGGCAGGACGGGAGTGCGGGTGAGCTGGAGCAGGCCGCCGAGGGTCTGGTTGGTGCTGATAAGGAGGATCCGGTCTGGCTTGCGCTGAAGGAAAAGGGGTTGCTTCTTCCGCCTGCGCCTACAGGGACGAGTACAAACCCAGCTCGGGAGGGGGATGGTGAGGTGGCTGTGGCTGTGGCGGCCAACTCCAGTGCGCGGTGGCCGGCTGAGGATAGCTTTGCTTGATTTGGTGATGGGTAATGGGTGATAGGACCTGTGGCGTTTCTGGGCTGGGTTACTACCTACTGGTACTACTACGGATTGGTTGCCCTTGTTATGGCTTTTGCTGTTTGCAGGAACTGGGATCTGGGAAAATGCCAGGCAAGGCGAAGCAAGACAAGGCAGGCAAGGGACAACAGGCCTTGCTTGCTTGCATTTCACAGAATGGGGCGTTCTGTTGTTGTCTTGTTAGTTCCCACCCTCTGTTCTGTTCTGTCTACCGAGCAGAGCAACTCGGCGTCATGGGGTTCGGGGTGACGGGGGAGTTTGTTAGGTTTTTTGTGGGTTTGGTTTGTGGTCTGGTATGGTATGGTATGGTCTGATGTACAGAGTATCTGTTCACTTGCAGCAGCATTGTAAAGGGGTTTGGTTCCATGGTTGTATGGGCCGTGTGGGAGTATAAGTACAGTAGAACAGGGAGTAATGATTACCATGACACATGATACAAACAATTGTTGTTGAGGTAGTGATTTGTTAGCATTATGGTATTGATGCTCTTGATAAGGTGAGGTGCTAAGGCGTCCCTTGAATCCCTGTTCAGATACTTAATGTTCACAATGAATGAAGCATGCTTAGAGGAGGATCTCAGTCACGATCGACAACTTGAGTGAAGGTTCACTGTTGGATCAATGTCGCTGGTATTGAGGGTATCAAATTGGCCCATTTCCACCGACAGCCTCGCGCTGACGCTTCCTCTGCCCTTCGCGGAGCAAATCCTCTCCGCTGTACCCGCCCAAGCGTAGACCAGCAATGCAGGAGACTGACTAATGATACATGATCAAAGGAACCTAGGAAACTCCAGGGCATCTTCCAGTGGTCAGCCTAGAGGTATCCACAACGCCCAACTCCTAACTCCGTGCAGAACATCCACCCCCCAACTCATAGGGCAAAAACAACAGTCTCACGGTGCAAGACGGTCCCCGGTAAGGCCCACGCGGCGGCGGTCTAGACGCTTCACCACAGCTCCCAGAACAACCTTGAGGATAGCCTCGGCCGAAAGCACATTGGCAGAGCCATCCCTGCCGTCCCAGGTGACCGTGTCGACCAGGTCTCGAACTCCGCCGCCCTGCTGGGCCAGGCCGTCATCCAGATCCCGCAACGCCTCGGCGGCGCCCCTCTCCCGACCAACCTGGAAGAACTGGATGCCCACCTGGTGGGGCGGGGCCTCGAGCTTGTCGAGCTTGCGGGCGATGCTGACAATGACCGACTCCGGGTCGTCGGTGGGGACGCCGTCGGTGATGACAATCATGTTGACCGGTTTCACGCCGCAGTCGTCCGGGTTGCCCGTGCGCTGGATCTGTCTTTCGTAATGGCGCAGGTACGGTTTCAGGATGTGGTTGATGCGTGTCCCCGTCGGGGTGCCGCCCGAGGGCCGCACGTTGGTGAAGAGGAACTCGACCTGGTCGGCGCTCTTGATGTTGCGGTAGCCGCCCTCCGGGTTGTTGCCGCTGCGCGCGTTGAGGAAGTAGACGTCGATGCCGTTCTCGTCGTGCGCCGTGCAGATGGGCGCGATGGCGCGCAGGGCTTCTTTCACCTCGCGCCACGACCGCCCCGCCATGGACCCGCTGTCGTCGATTAGGAATACGGTGTCGAAGGAGCTGAGGAAGGCATAGGGGTCCTCGGGCGACGTGATGCTGGGGTTGGAGCGGGCGGATGAGTTGGACGGCGCCGGAGACGCAGCCCTCGCCGGGCCGGGACCCTGGATCGTGATGGTGGGGTTCGGGGCTACCTCCGAGTAGGGAGGGGGCGGGGCTTGATTCTTGGGTGCGGGTGCGGGTGCGGGGGTTGTCGCCGGTAGCTCTGTCGGCTGCCCCGCAAACGGATTCGTTGACTGCGTCGAGGACGGATTTGGACTGGGTGATCGTGACCGCGACTTCAACTTGTCCTTGATGGAGCCGAAGATGGAGCGATTTGGACTAGACATTATGGAAGATGTGCGGACGTGAGGGTTGAAGGTTTGGGTGAACAAGGCGGTTGCCATTCCAGAGAAAGGGAAGTACTGAGGGGTAGTGCTGATTTAAGCTGTCAAGCCCAGTGCAAGCAACGCAAGTGTGACACGCAGGTGCGGCCCAAGTTATTAGGTGCGGTAATGGCGCGCGGTTAGCGGACTGTAAGTCAACTTGATTGTTGCTCTAGATCCGGCGGCCATCAGAATACCAAAAACATGCTCTGCAGAGAACCATTCTTTATACTTTGTCGATCTCATCCATCCTTCATGACCGAGTTCCCCTCAGGGGCAAGTGGACCGTACTGCACGCAGCGTTGCCGGACAAAGAGGTTAATATTTGCCATCCAGCCTTGCTGAGAGCCTGAGGCCTGCATCACGAAGACGGCTAGGCTAGGTGGTAGCAGCTAGGCGAAGCAAATTCCAGTGTTCTGGAAAGAAGGGATGAGTGACACAGCCACCGATTGTGCTGGGAGCCTGGGATAGTTAGGGCATTGATGTCTGTTCGCGGCAAACACTAACAGAAAAGTCCACATAGTGGGGCTGAGTAAGGCGCAGCAATCACCACAAACACCAGATTCAGTATGCCTCGTCAGGGCAGCGTCTGTCAGGGAGACACACACGAGCCATATGCGCGGCATGAGATCTTGTCACAGGAAGTTTGTTTCGGCACATGGCCCAGCATAGCCGAGCGCAAACCCACGGTTTACCTCGGCCGTTGTAGCCGTGGTAGCTCAAGGAACGGAGAAGTGCTATGTAAAACCCATCCCCAAAGGCGGATTCCCAGAGAGTATGCGGCATGTCCGTCTGAGCTCGTTAGACGCTGGCCATCCAAGGCAGTGACCAGTGTCTGCCCCGCGTTGGCCTAGTCTCTTATAAGCTCCATCCTGGTGATAGTGAAGCGGCAAAGGTTGGCTGAGCCGTCTCATAGAAACGTTGGCCCACAGGAACCAACTTCAAGTGCGGCGGCGGCTCCAACAGGAATGGGATCTACGGTTTCGGCACGATCCGACCAAAACGTGGAGGATCCGAATCTGGAAACAGCCGCGCGACTTCAGGGACTCTGGAGAGAAGAGCATCACGACCAGTTCAAAACCTGAGAAAGACCAAGGTCGTCGCAACAACCGTGAACCTGCGATTTGATGATGTTGATAGGCAGTGAGTTGACGGCGATAGGAAATACAGTGCCGATCCATCCAGAACACGGCGTCTTTTGACGGAGATTCTTGGCAGGGGCCCTGGACCCCTGTCCATGCAAAGCACCCCGCCCGTCAGTTGCCCAACGTTACAGCGGGGTAGCTGATCGTCGTTGGGCTGCTGAAATCGGGTCTTTTCTTGGATCGTTGGAATTTCAATTCTCCCCTAGATGAACATGTGCCGGTCCAGCAATTATCTCTTTTATCCTTGGCAAGGAGATCCTGGTTCCAGTTCTCATGGATTTCCAGGTTGTGATCTTCTGGAAGCGGTGTCGTGGTTTCTGTATTACCTAGTGCTTATGCACTGTTGCTGCATGGAGTCGCACTGGTGTTGCGGTGAAGCAGTAAGGATCAATGGGCCTTCGTGATACATGTACCTTATGTAGGACGCGGATTCTCGTAGGGTGCATCGGGAATTGGGTAGGTTTGCGGGAAGGGCTTCCCGGTCAGGTCAGTATTTATTTATTCTTTCAAGGATGCGGTGAGGTCGAGCTTTCCAGGCCAAAATTTCCTTGCCTCCTTCAGCTGGAAGCACAGCAGCAAATGGGAAATAGATAACTTTGAACAGTTTCCCATCAGTTTAACCCCTCTCATCCTCTCCTCTCAGCCCTACATACGTGTATTGCCCATCCTCTGTCAGCTTTGACAAACAATCTCTCAACTTCGTTGCTCCGCTACTGCTTGCCTTCGCCATGGCCGACTTCCTTTCGGGCCTTGCGAATCGAAAATTCAGCATCAATCGCAATACCGGCGTGCCACGCCCTGCACGCCGCTTTTCGATTGGAGAGCCTGGCCTCGCCGGTAAGGACAAACAACATAAAGCATTCCCTCAACTGTCTCCTCCGCTGAAGTCGCCATATCTCTGCAAACGCTGACGATATTTCCCCACCTCAGAGGCCAGCAGTAAAGTTCACAGGCAATTCCGGGCCGCCCATGAGGGGTATGGCCACCCTTGATGCAGTCTCGTCCAATCACCGCCGCTGACCCTGCGTTGGCAGTCATCTTCCCCATGCCGGGTTAGACGCGAGTAGGTCGTCTACTGGGGTCGTCTGGTGCACTGAGCGAGCCGCCGAGCACGGCTTCCTCGAAGAGCCCGAGAAATGGGCCAACCTAGGCCGTATGTGCCCTCAGAGGCTGGTCCTCACCTTCATCCCCAGACAGAAGCGCTGACGGAACCGGTCAGAGGGTGCTCCCGAAGTACACACGTCAAGCCTGAACTTAGCCCGCTCCCTCTGACAGGAAAATAGGTGGATGATGAGATAAAGGGATGCTTCCCCAGGCCCACGACCATCGACATCAGCGTCGCCAGCCGAGAGTATGGACCAACCGCCGGAATCAAGCCCCTGAGAGAAGCCGTTGCCCGCCTGTACAACGAGATGCACCGTAAGGGCAAGCCGAGTCAGTACACGTGGGAGAACGTTGCCATTGTTCCCGGCGGCCGCGCAGGCTTGATTCGTATCGCTGCCGTCCTGAACAACGCATACGTCGGCTTCTTCATACCCGACTACACAGGTATGAGCTCAGAGATGAACGCCACTGGGCGGGGCTAACGCTAAAAATAGCGTATAATGAGATGCTGTCACTCTTCAAGAATGTACGGAGGAAGCCCCTCCTACAGTCATGGCATCTCGCTTACTGACGCCTTTCTAGTTCGCGGCGATTCCTGTCCCCTTATCCGAAGAAGATGGCTACCACATCCACCCGGACAAGATTGCCGAGGAGATTGCCCGCGGAACTGGCGTTATTCTCACATCCAACCCTAGGAACCCCACGGGCCGTGTCGTGGCGAACCCGGAGCTGGCCGAGATCCAGGACCTGTGCCGCGAGCGAGCCACGCTCATCAGCGACGAGTTCTACTCGGGATACAACTACACTAGCAACTGCGACGGGACCACCATCAGCGCTGCTGTGAGTTACCCGTTTTGCATTTTGCGACAAACAAACTAGTACTGATATACCCCTTTCCAGGAAAATGTCATCGATGTGGACGAGGACGACGTCCTCATCATTGACGGCCTGACCAAGCGCTTCAGACTTCCCGGCTGGCGCGTTGCCTGGATTCTGGGGCCCAAGGAGTTCATCAAGGCGTCAGTAACCCCTTTTCTCCCCTCTCCCACTTCCCCAGCGCCCCCGTCCCTCTCCTGATACTAACCCTCCCCTGAAAAAACAGCATCGGCTCCTGCGGCTCGTACCTCGACGGCGGCACCAACGTGCCCTTCCAGGAAGCCGCCATCCCGATGCTTGAGCCGGAGCTGGTCAAGAAGGAGATGGCGGCGTTACAGAGCCACTTCCGCGACAAGCGCGATTACGTGGTCGGCCGCCTGCGCGCCATGGGCTTTTCCATCCGCTACGTGCCCGATTCCACCTTCTACCTCTGGCTCAACCTCGAGGGCTTGCCCGGTCCCATCTCGGACGGGCTCAACTTCTTCCAGGCCTGCCTTGAGGAGAAAGTCATTGTCGTCCCGGGGATTTTCTTCGACCTGAACCCGGCCCGCCGCCGCGACCTTTTTGATAGTCCGTGTCATCACTTTGTACGGTTTTCGTATGGCCCCAGGATGGATGTGCTTAAGATGGGGTGTGATGGGATTGAAAGGGTTGTTAACAAGTGCGTCTCTCTCCTCGTGTTTTTCCCGTGGAGCCGTGAGATGTGTGCTAACTGGTGGTGTTCTTCCTGATAGGTTCAAGAACTTTGTGAGCCACGGCCAAGGAAATTGAAGGGGGACGCGCGCTTGAGCGGGCTGGTTGTCGGCTACGATGCGTCTAGAAGGGACAGCATGTTGGAAAGTGTTTCGTTGGCAGGACTATTTGCGGCAAAGGGTTGTTGCCACCCCGAGATCTGCTCCTTACCTATCTAGGCGACTTTGCCATCTTTGTATCGCCGTTCGAGTACCTATACGAGATCCAGAAAACTCCGGGAAGCTAGGGATAAAGCCACCTATAGAAGAGCGAGTTTGGGTAGACGGAGCCCTCATTAGCTTTGACACGTGACAATCCAACTACCATGCGCAAGGACGAGATTTTCGAGAAAGCATGCCACTTAGAGATGGAACTTCCGTAGGGTTTTGAGATTCAGGTTTCCCAGGCGTATTCAATATTCTCGAGGAGGGAAAGGGGCAAAGTGCCCCCCTAAACTGCTTGGATTCCCTGCTTACGCTGTGAAGTGTAGATCAACGTTGGATTCCAACTGGAAAACAGCTTGAACCATCTGTTTGCAGTTCAGCATAGCAGTACAATCAAGATCACCGGTTCCTATGCCCTCGTGGGATGTGTCCTGCGTTACCAATTCATCCAAGCTCAGCGGCGAGTTCAGGATAGATTGACAACCTATTCATCAGCTTTAACAACACTCCTTTCCTAAGCGTACAGCTCTTGTCAAGTGATAATTCTGGGAATGGAGTGGCTGGTACTACCTACCTCGGACTTACACCCGCTTAATAGGGCGTATTTTGGTTCTGCAAGTATCTCCAGTGCCCGGGACCCAAAACTCGTATCAAATCTCATCTTGCTTTGGTTGGTTTGGCGCATCATATTGGCGATGCATGGCGGGAGTACTGCTTTCTCGTCCCCGTCAGTAGTAGAATTGGTAGGTATATACGTAGACATACTTAAGAAACAGATACGCGAGGCCGGAAGGGGAAGCTTCCCTGTGGCCGTCGTCACGCTGTAATAGGGGCAGTCCACGCTTAGAGATTTGGCCAACATTGAGTATATAGTTCAAGTCCCCCTTCCTACTTTCAACCCCCACGGGTAGAAGTAGCAAAGTGGTAGTAAGTAGTAGGCAATACTCCCTCCCTAACTCGCCCAACGCGAAGGAGGTCCTGTGTTCGATTCACCACGGCAGCCCATGATGGTCGCTGCCTCAACAAACCCAAAGTAAGGCCGCACAACATTGCAATCCCGTGGTCTTGCTTGTTGCAGAGGGAAGCACTCAGGGGAGTGTTCATCCAAGGGATGACCGGGAACCCCCTATCTGTCCACAATGTGGAAGGCAATCTCTCCCTGGGGTGCAGTTGGCTGCTTAGGGTGTGCAGTGAAATAAAGAGGGCGAGAGACAGCAGGTTGGTTGAGAACTTCTCGCTCTTGGGAAGATTCGCTTCCAGAGCCTCGTACTCTCCCTCCGTCTGAGGTTTGAGGACTCGCATCTCAGCGGCAGACCGCCGAAGAACCGTTGCGACTTCTGGGTACTTGGAGCAGAACGTGTCCCAGTTCTTTTTCAGGTCCCGCTTGAAATCATTGCTTCATGCCCCATCGCGCCACCGAGGCTTGACAATCAGTGGCTCCTCCGCTTGCAGTTCTTGGAACTCTTTTCCCACCAACAACAACGATTTCGCAATGGCTGAATCCGACCACCCTCCAGACTAGGCGCCTGGGCCCTGAATGAGCACGCGCATCAAGAGCATAGTTCTGCTGCTCCTGACGATGCTCCTGAAACAATCTTGGGACTGCTGCAGATCCTATTCGGAGCCCGCCTAGTCGACCTGCTCCCCGTGAAACGCAACACCGACGTCCACTGTGCATCCATAGCACTAGACAGCAAGCTCGAAACGATGTTCTCCTCCAGTATCTCTATAGTGGACAAAGCGAAACCTGCAGCATGCCTAGTAGACTGGCAAAGCTCGGCCCTATCATGGGCTATCCAGGATACCAGTTAGTGCGCGAGAAACAAGATGCGGGAGACATTGGTGGCATGGTCGACCTGGTGCAGAACTCCCGACGTTCACGGCACGGCGCATCCAGCGCACTAGACAGCAAGCTTGATCACCCATTTTAACCAGTCTGGGTCGTATCCCTCCCACCACCCTCCAGCTGTTCGAGTCCAAATACAGCTGGGGCCCGAGCCGAGGGTCCAACCGAGTCCCGACGAAATTATAGGCCAGCAGCAAGCCCGTCAACAACGACACCGGCAGCAGACCCTCAAGCGGAGGAGGCAGTGATTGTTAAGCCTCGGTTCCGCCTTTGGCCCTGGAGAGTGGGAGGTTTGTCATTATCGTCCGTCAAGGGGGTTTCGGATGACGACGAACTGGAACATGGAACCGGCACCTGAAAAGCTGCAGTACTGCATTCGGCACTGGCAGTGAGGTCTCCCTTCTGTTCGGGTGGTGTCCACTGTCCTGCCTGCCTGCTCGTACACTCCTCTTCAACAAAAGGTCCAGGGGGACGTGGACGGTATTTGAACAAGAACACCTGAGACCACAATCGTGTAAAAGGCATCAATCTCGGATATCAACGTATACAGATGCAAAGGTACGGTTACAGAGTAGTCCGATATGTTCTCTAGGAGAAATGACTCTGTTGTCATTCTCGAGTTCAGAGTATGCATCGGACATAGACCGCGTTTGTTCATAGAGGGAGACTTGTTGAAATCATTGTTAGAAACCAGAATGGTTCCATCACCCTCCTGTGTTAATGTATGTGTGAAGACTTCCTATAAGCAGTGAACTAGACAATTGCTATCACTTCGAGTATGGACATGAAGCTGCAGGAGCAGGAGAGGTATCGTGTTCCCGCCGATCCACGGCTTCTGTCTTTCTTCTGCATTGTACCACGCTACGAGTGGTATTACCATGGGCCCATGGGGCAGCTTATTGTGAAGGAGGAATTTGTCCGCGATTGTGATGGTTGTCATGGAGCTTTGCAGCTCAGAAAGTATGTTGCTGACGTCTTCGACCCTCTGGTGTTGGAGTTGACGGATCAAGTCGCGAGATTGGTCTCGAAGCTGAGTTTGGAATTGTTGTTGCGATGCAGGAGGGTCGGGCTTGGGGATGGTCTGCTATCGTAGTAGGTCAGTAGGTACTCAACAAGGTAGACAGATACTAAGCTTAAGCCCAAGAGAGGACGTATGAGTCCCTCGTCTTTCCCCCATTCTCGAGAAGCAAAGCGCGTAGTGGCGAGGCCGCAGCCTTCTGGTTGATGACTCCTCGCGGAGTCTATCCATGCGGGCTAGTACTAATTGCCTAAGCATGGACGCTGCTTCGACCCCTAGCTTCCTCTTATTTTTTGCTTTGTTTGATTTTTGATGGCGGGAAGTCCGTCGGGAGAGGCTCGCTATCTGTCGGACGGACATGAAACGCCTATGGGTTCCGTAAAGCTGAGGACCTCGATCGAAGCACTTGCTCTGACAGTCGGATTTTGCGGCAGCGGAGCGGATTCGGTGGATGGTTAGAGACCTCGGAGCGGCGTGTCAGGAAGTAGTGCCTTTGTGCAAACCAACCAGCATGGCAGCATGAGCCGATACCTGGGTTCGATCGGTGTAGAAACGAGAAACTTAATGCAAATGAGGTTAATGGAAGGCTGCAATGGGACGTAACGGTCAAGCTGCCAGCAACTGCGGGATCTGACTTCCGCTCAGTGCAGCGCAGCAGCAGAGGGATCCGTAGTGTAGGGATGGCCAAGGTCTCGATGGCTCACGGCTCCCACGTTTCGGGTCTCGTGACGGTCGGCGGAGCGGATTCGGTAGGTGACCCCGGCGGGAAGACGCCTCTTCTCTGGACGATGCAAAGGTGAACCGGCGGAAAAGTGATACGATTGGCATCATAGAGCTGACGGCTGCTTACCCCCACGCTTCTCCGCTCTGTGCAGCCCGGGCGCATCGCGAGGGGGTCTGGACTCTGGAGGCTAATATCGTAGGAGAGCGGGCTAGAAAGAACTGTGTGGGTTTCTCAGGTTCATCTTACCCTATATCATCTTGACGGCTCGCCGAGTGTCCAATTTCGGACACCAGAATGGCAGGATTTCGTGGGGGAGCCCGGGGCCGCTGCATGAGGTGTGCTCCGCGCGCATGAACGAGCTCCGGGAGTCGCCCGAGAAACCTGAGAAACATACTATGTGGTGCTTTACGTTGCTTTGCAGACTGTGACAGGTTGGAATGTAGAAGATGCTGACATGAATAGCTCTTTGATTTGGAAGGAGCTGAGGTTGGACACCGACGTGGCTGATGTCGAAGACACACGTGCTGCATGACCATGAAGCCAGAATAATTGCACCCCAAAGTCTAGACAGAAAAGAAAGTCAAGGCTGATGACGCCTTCCAGCCCGGCTCTTGCGTGATCACATCCTGGCTCAGGCTGTCCTCGGTCGTCTGCTCCTTCCCGTTTGAATTCAAGCTGTAATTGATTGCCCATGAGTGTTGAGACGGAGCAGCTCTAAATTACTCGGTATCTAAGTGCTTAACGATGCTCCCATCAACTCAATTGACACTTACATCTGCTCTGCGAGAATGGACATGAGTGTTGCCATTGACTGCGCAACGATCAGGGGCTGCAATGTTGACATTCAAAGTCACTATGTATTTCTTGGCATTGCGTGCTCGGACCAATTCAAGGTGAGGGCTTGCCACACCTTGCACGGTGAAGCCAAAACATGAGATGGTTCTAGACGTTTCTTAGCCAGCGAACTACATCACAACCTCATGAGTTGAGGTCTCAATAGAAGAGAACAAGACCAGTAGTGCCCGATCAAGTTCACCAAAACTCATATTCCAACACCAACCATTACAACACATTATCTCGGTCCTCAAACCGCCAGATCGATTCGAAACACCCATCCCTGAGCACACCTAGCAATCTTGCAGGCTCAAATCGGGAGTAAAACTCACAACCCCAGACGACCTAAATTACAACTCAGCAAGCCACAAACACAACTTTAAAAGATAGGGAGTGTACTCACCGCCGTGCTGAGCACACAGCTCACCCAAGCAGTAACTGCAAGAGCTCGATGCCCATCCGCAGCCAAGCAAGCCTAGCTTGCCGCTGCCGCATCACACCGTTACTCCTCCGTCCAACAACAACCCTCTTCCGGCTCCCATCAGCAGCAGCCGCAACAAGGCGGCCGCCTCTCTCATCCGCATCCGCATCTGCATCCGCACCCCTGTATCCATCCATACCAACAAGGATGAGCAGCACCACCATCACCGGCACGGCTGGTTCTGCCAGCGCGGCAGGGGCACGCAGCTACCCCACACCAACGGCGAGCACGTCAGCGCTCCCCGGCAACACACCATCCTCAGCAGCAGTACCAAAGCAGCAGCAACAACAACCATCAGTAACAGTAACCACCGCTGTAGAGGACGACACCACCACCACAACCACCACCACCACTGAACCAGACCAGGAACAGCAGCAGCAGGAGAGCAAGAAACCAATCCTTCCCCTTCCGGCCCCGGACCCCTCCTCCTCTTCCTCAAACGACGAAGAAGGCACACGGATCGTGCAAGTCAACGGGAAAGCTGTGGCACTCGACAAGCTGGGGCCGATGGTGGTCGGGCGGGACGGGACTGTGTCGCGCATCGCCAACTGGCCTGAGATGACGGAGATCGAGCGGCAGAACACGCTGCGCATCCTGTGCAAGCGCAACCAGCTGCGGCTGGCTAATCTCCGGGCTGGGAGGGAGGCTGATGCCCCGATTCCAGTTGAGGGTGTTGGTGAGACTGCTGCTGCTGCTGCTGCTGGTGATTCTCCCAACGGGGACGCGGTCAAGCAAGGGTGATGGATTAGGCTTGATAGTAGGGGTGAGAATGGTATTGATAAGGGGATGTTAGGTAGATGGAGAATTGAGATTCTCTTGCTAGCACCATCAGCTAGAATGGCTGCTTGCTTTCCATGTGCCTGCTCCCCTTCGTGTACGCCTGTAGTACGCCTGTAGTAGCAAGTCGGTACATGAATACATCATGGCTAGATCAAAGACACGCTAGGACCAACGCCACAGATGGGATATGTAAATTCCAATTCAACGCTTTGCCGCCCCACCATATTGTACTGTTTGTGATGTCGACTGGATCGACAATGAGCACGCAAAGAATCACGTCTTTGACCGAGCAACAATGGTCAAGCCCTTCAAAATAAAAAGCAAAAAGCCAGAGCCCAGCTACTACTTCAAAAGAGCACGCCAATCCTCTTCAACACCACCTACTCCCCAGCCGCACAAGAACGCCTCGTTGGATGAAGTGACAATGGTATATCCACGCTGCCCCTTGCTTAATGCCCGACCCAACCCGAACCTCAATCTTTTCTCCTCGTCTCCGCGTCATCAACTGCGGTAGTTGAGCTCGCGGCGCTGATGCTCTCCCTGATCTCGCCGCCGTCGTCATTCTTCCCCGCCGCCGCCGCCTTCTTGGCCTCCTGCGCCGTGAACTCCTTGAGCAGCTTCTCGAGGATCTCGTCCTTGGCGCCGTGCTTTTCCGTCACCAGGCTCTTGAGCCACTTGTTCTCCGTCTCGAGCGCCGAGATGCGGCCCTCGAGCATCGTCACCTTCTCCGTCATCTCCTTGGCCGACCGCTCGAGCGCCTGCTCACGCTGCTTCTTCTTGATGCGGAACCGGGCGCTGGCGGCCGTGTTGCGCTTCCGCTTGTCCTCCTCGGCCGCCAGCCGCGCTTGCTCGTCGATGCTCAGCACACGGCCGCTGAGCGGGCTAAGTTGCTGCTCAGCCTTGCGCTTCTCACCCGCTGCTCCTGCTGCTGCTGCTGCTGTCCGCGGGGGGACGGCCGCGGACGATACATACCCTGGCTGATGATGGTGAGGCGGGACCGGCGGATAGGCGGCCATCTGAGGCCCCGGCTGGATGGGCGGCAGATTCCCTAGGGCATCTGGAAAGGCGGGGACGGTCGGCGAGGTGTAAGTGCTGAAATCCCCGAAATTGAAGTCGCCTGGAGACATTGTGCCATGGTCAGCCGTCGGACGGGCAATATCGGGGGCATCTACGCAAAGCCAAGAGAAGAGAATCCAACGGGCGGCGCCGCCGGCGGGAAAGGCGGAGTCCGGGGATATTGAGCCACAGTTAGGCGGTCCATTGTTGATGGCCCATCGTCGATGGTGCAATCGCCCCGAAGTCACGGGAAATGGCACCATCACCGGCAGGGGCCGTCATTTGTCAGCGCCATTTAGGCGGGCCCAGGACTTCCTGCTTCCAGGTGTATGCATGAGAGGGAGGACCGCTTCCAATCACGGCGCTCCCCAGAACATTGGGTGGGGTACATGATGAGCAAAGTAGGGTGCGAACGTTTTCCCCAATTCGCGATAAGGGAAAGGCATCTCTTTGGTCCACAGCCGCCCTCCATCCATTGTAGGTAATGATGTTCTGAATGCTGATCTCATGGTTTTTGCTGCCGTGCCGCCACCACGCACCCGCATCGCAGAATACCGGATGCAATATGCGGGGCCGCGCAACTTTGCCGGTGACCAAGAAGGGGTCCGTCGGTGGGAAAATGACAGAAGGGAACAGCAGAATTGGAGAGAGATGAAGAGCAGCGGACAGGAAAACAGAAAAAAAGACTAACCAGAGATGAAATCAAAGTCGGTCGAAAAGTCCCCAATGATAGGATCAGTTGTTGTAACATCTGAAGCAACCGGTTGTGTTGTCTCAGGCTTTACGGGAGGCGCCTGCAAGTCCGTATTTTGGCCCGTCTCAAAGTCGAAGAACTGAGTATTTGTGAATAGCGCGAGTTCCTTGTGAAGGTCTTCGTCGGTGATGAAAGTCTCCTCCACGGCGGGCTCCTGGACCTTGAGGTCGCGCAGGTACTGGGAGACATTGACTCCCCTGCGGCTGTTGTACGACATGGTTGTCTCGTATGTATGCAGATCCGCAGAATCCGACAGGAATAAGTAACACTAGTGACTTGGGACCGTCGGCCTCGCGCTGCCTCTTTCACAAAGCTGGCGCTGTCGATTGAGGGTCTCCAAGAGTCGACAGTTGAGATTTGGGCGAGCGAATATGAGATGATCCCCCTTTTGGCGACGTCGCTGTTGTGCTGAGAAAGGCGCAGGAACAAAGGCTGCTGAGCGGGGGTACCAGGGCTTAACTCGGCATTCAGATCGGGTCCGGGTTTTTCCAATGGATGGACCCGGGCGGCGAGTCAGAGTCTGGACGGCTGGGGGAGAGAGCGCCAAAACACCTGATGCCGGCTCTTTGGGTGCAAAACTGCTGTTGGCGATGGTTTCAGGGAAATTGGTAAGCCGTGAGTTGCAAGGGGCTAGGTTGAGGTTATGAATAGTTCAAATCAAAGTCAGTCCTCGGAAGAAGGTGAGGTGTGGTATGGTCCCAGACGAAAGATCAATTAGTCAGACACGCTGGATCCGATGCGGGCGCACAAAGGTTGCCCCTCACTCCTGTCGAGCCTGTGATTCCCGTCCAATCGAAAGTGGGACAGGCCCGCTCAATTGCTCAAAGCATTGTCACCACCACGTTGTTTTAGCAATTGACAGCGAGATTTCAACCCTCAAAAGTCGTGGGCCAGCCACAGTTCTACGGCTTCGTTCCTTGGCGAAGCATGTGCGAAACCTCAATTATCTTAGAGAGCTTTGTCTCTTCGAACGCCATGCGGGGTCTTGATAGATCGTCTCGGCTGGTCATTTTTGCACATTATCGATTCCAGGGCTCGGCCGAAGAGTGGGTCAGGGTTCACCTGGCTGAGGTGTTTGTACTCCGTAATCCGGTACTCCATATGCGGGATGAGGAAGGAAAGGTAACGTTATTATGAATTGAGAAGTGGTACTAGTATGTGTACGATCTCCATGATTCCGGAGTAAGAAGGCTCTGGCTTCTCGTGCTCGGAACTTCCAGGAAAGGAATGACGACTGGAGTCGCGGCCGCCGAACTCGGCACACGAACACGAAACGTTTTCGTTCCTGACCGTGTCACCGTAGTAGAACCTCACCTCACGCGATTCCATTACGCTTGACAGGGCCATCTACCAGCGACTGCGGGCTATTCAGTAATGGCATTTCATAAAGCAGCCAGCTCAATGCTCACGTCAATGTCCATGGGGTTTCAGGACGCCTTTCATGAGAATCATGAGGCGGGGCACCACCCTGATGTGAGTTCTTTGCTTGGCGTGGGGGAGGATATTACAGCCTTCAGCACGTGCGAGATAGCCCGAGTACATAACGTACTAGCAACTACGGGGTCGCTGGAAACATCGCCAGCCGTAGAGTAAATTCAGCATACCAACTCGTGGGCCCTTACCCGTTGGCTCGTCGACCTTGTAAACCAGTGCTGAGCCAACGGGTAGCTTGACATGAGGGAATGGAGTTCTGGAAACTCGGCTATGCTTCGTGGATTATTAAATCTAGGGAAACTACCTGACTACTTAGTCCAGTACATATATACGAAGTAGTTCCATGCTAACAAGTAACAACCGCCTCACTTCAGGGAAGAATTGGACTGTTGGAGTTTCCTTCTTTACACAGCGAAGTTGTGGCTAATACATGCGGATTGAAGCTGAGTTGACGTGAAGCTCTTAGCTCAATATCTCACAGATCATCCACGCGATTTGCTGCCTTTTCTTGATGGTGATCTTGTTTGAACCTACGGAGTACAGTACAGTATGATCGCTGATCTAAGCACGGACTCACGGGTTCGGGTTACGCGCAGTCAGTTAACCTTCAGCCCTAACCCAGCGCTGTATTCCATTTCTCTGCTGCGGTTGGCTGATTGGGCATTCATCCGCAGACCCCGGTAAGCTATATGCATACTGTGGCGCGAAACACGAAACAACTTCAGATGTGGCTGAGCGCCTGGTAAAATACACCTACAATACACATACGGCGCATACGCTTAAGCAGCAAAGGGACTAAGGGAGAGAAACAGTTGTAAGTGATTTGGCATCATCGAGAGGGAAGCCAGGTCGGGTTCATCCACCTTTTTTAAACTTATATACTTTGTATTGTAGTATGCCTTGATGAGAACAATGGCGCGTATCTCAGTGCCCACGACGGCGTCCCTGCCATCATCATTACGCGTCGACCCTAAACTCCCTGCAGTTTATAAGATTCTCAAGCGCCTGTCGCGTTCATCTCTGCTCTCAGTTGCACTTGACTGGCTAGACGAAAACAATCTGCCTCTGGCACAACCCTATCTCCGGCAAAGAAATTATGGCGACGGCGAGGATGATGATGATGATGATGATGACGACGAGGAAGAAGCCGACGACTTCTACCCGCCGGCGCGATCCCCCGAAGCGCTCAGGGAAGTCTACACCGACCTGCAAACGCGCAAGGGATCCAAGCGAGAAGTCCTCGACCGCATTCTCGAAGGCGACTGGCGGCATGGATTGAGCCTCTACCAACTTGCCATGGCCGACCTGCAGTACCTGTACGACCACCCAACCTCACAGAAATGGTCCGCCTACCGCATCGCGCCACTCAAACCTCCCGCCACCGGCGATCCGGAGGACGACGAGGAAGCGGCCCCGCAGCCCGAGGTGGACAAGGAGTCGCTCACCATCCCGCGCTTCCACCCTTCAACCTTCCTCCGGGCCCTGCAAGCCCAGGTCCTGCCCGACGTCAAAGCTCACTACACCTTTGACGCGCACCGGAGTTTGCCGCTGCTCCTCCTGCGCATCTTCATCGTCGATTCACCCTACAACACCGCTCTGGGCCTCTCCTCCTCCTCTTATCAACCCGGCACCACAGGAACAACAACAACCACCAGCTTTGACTCCGCCCGAACGGTGTACCTCGCCTTCCCCGACGCCTCGCCCTACGTGTACATCTCCAAGCCCCAGCAGAGCATCCTCACCAGTACCACCAGCACCAACCCCACTGGCCAGCAAAGCGCAGGAGGAGGCGGAGGTGTGGGTGTGGGTGTGGGTGGGGGCGAAGCAAAGTCCCTCCGGAACCTGATCGTCGAGGGTGTGCCCAAGGCGCTGTCCAACCCGCGCCAGCGCCAGCGGTACACGCTGCTGGGCACCAACCTCGCGACGCGGAATCTGGCTGAGCTGGTTGCGCGAAGGGGAGCCGGGAGGACGAATGCTGCCGGGGGTGGGTGGGGGTGGTATGCTGATGAAGGGGGCGGCAAAAATAAAGTTCGGGAGTCGCCTCTCGACTTGGTTATTCTCCCGAAGCTGTTTTCCCCGGCTGCTGCTGAATCATCATCCGATCGGGAGGAGCAGGAGGAGGCGAAAGAAGTAGAAGTAGAAGAGGGTGGGCATGCTGGGAAGGTTGGGAAAGGGGTCGGAACTGGAACGGGAATGGGGAAGAGGGGAGGGGCTCTGCTGGCCGGGATAGAAAGGAAGGAAGACAGGGCTGCTAAGCGGGCTAGAATGCTCGCGACGGCACGGTTTGGGGATTCTGCGCGGGTTGGGGACGGGTTGGGCGTTGAGAGGGTCGATGTTGTCATTGAGGACCCGTTCCCCGAGGTGAAGGGGTTAGGGGAAGACGGGGAAGATGTTGAACAGACAAGTGGTGATCTCAGGGCTGGTGCTACGGGTGGTGGTAAGAGAAACCATGTGGAGGTGAATCTGCGGAGGGCGGTAGGGGAGGACGAGGGCGACGAGGAGCAAGGGCAGTTGTGGCGGCCGTATGTCAGGCTGACGTTCCACGGACCCCACGTCTTCGGGGGAATCAGGCAGCTTGTGGAGTGTGACATTATTGATGGCGAGCGGATGCCCGGGTGGATGACCGGGGAGGAAGGCGTGACAATAGGCGCCGTCAGCAACGGGAGGATACGGGGGCATAATGGGTCTGGAGTGTAATGGCCTTCATCTGGGAGTCTCGGGGCGCTTCGTGCCTCGTAGAAACGCATCTACAGGCGTGACTGTCGACTTGTTCATCCATCTTACACAATTCGATGGGGTGTTTTCTTCCAGTAGGCTCCGGCGTCTCCAACCAAACAGTCTCTCAACGCTGCTTAACACATGGCACTTGCGTAGACGAGTGGTAGCACTACTAATAAGAAGTAGTTTGTACATCTTGCTGTCGATTGCTTTCTAAATGTAGCCTATTGCTTTGTAGCTAGCTAAGATGGTAATTCTCATGGATCGAAGAGGGGTTATTGTGGACAATTATCATGGCATGCGATGACCCATACAGATTATCGAACGGAGGTGCTGGTGACAGTGTGGTAGGCGGTGGGTAATGTGGGGATATATAGGGAAGTTTTTGGTTTCAGGTCGTCAACAGGAGCCGGTACGTCATTGAACCATTTCAATGGCGATTTGGCGTAGCGGTTCCAGCGTGGGCGTAGAGAAAATACCTGGACGACCTCTGGTCGACGAATGTTGCTGTCCCAGACTGCTGTGTAGGCTCGCACGCCTGCCTCTCTTTTTGGGGTCCGATTCCTGGATCAACCACTTTTTTTTTTGCTGTAGCTCTCGTTCCGGCCAGATCCTATGCACAAAAGCCGGTGAAGGCTGCGGAATATCGGCATTTCCAGGTGGAGGATTCCCTCCCAGCCTAAGATACACGACGGCCGTACCTACCAAATATTTGCCTTCAGTATTTCCTGATGCTCGTGGCCGGAAGAGAAAGATCACCACCAAGATGCTTGCTCAGATGGAACGGCTTACTGACAACAATGGGTTCCATGGCCTAACTGTTCCATGGGAGGCACTACCCGCCGCTGCAGGACTGGATATAGAAGTCTCTGCCGATACAGTCCGCTCTGGGCCCATGCCCGACCGAAATGCCCTCTGGCCGCCGTCGTCGTGGTCACTCTCTACGAGTTTTGCGTTGAGAGAGGCAATCGTGAGACTCGAAGCATTGCCTGCCTATGTCTCTAAGCGGGAATGAACTGCGCTATGCTGATCTATGAGTCTAGCCCAAACACCTTGACCGTGTTCTCCCATGCCGCCTCACACACTTCCTCGACGGAAACACCCTTGATACCGGCCACGATTCTCGCTACCCGCTCAATAGTGCACGGCTCGTTGCGGCCCTTGACCATGGCCCCTTCCTCCCATTTCTCCTTCTTTACCACCTTATACCGGTCAGGGACCTCGGGTTCCTTTTTCTGGCCCTTCTTCTTCCCTTGCTGCTGCTGCTGCTTCGGCTTCTCTGGCTCATCCACCGTCTCGGCCGCCGCAGCCTTGGCCTTAGCCTCAAACTCCACAAGATACTTCCACCCCTCATGGCTAGGCCTGACCTCGCACCACGGGCCATCCGTCTCAAGCATCAGCCGGGAGAGCTCAATCTCCTTGACCACAACGCAGTTCTCGGCCGTCTTGAAGCTGCACCCATTGACACCAATGTAGAGACCCAGCTCCATAAGCTCGCGCATCTCTTCCACGGTGCCGGTAAAGCTGTGAACGACACCACCCTTCTCAAGCCTCTCAAGGCGTTCGCCAAAGGCTTCTTTCAGCAGCCGCACAAAGTCGGCGTGCGCGGCGCGCGAGTGGAGGAAGAGAGGGAGCTGGGGCTTCAGCGAGGCGGCGAGGGCCAGCTGCACCGCGAAGGAGTGCAGCTGGACTTCTTTGGAGGCGTAGTGCAGACGGTCGTAGTCGAGGCCGAACTCGCCGAAGGCCACGAGTTCGGGTGAAGAGGAAGACGAAGATCGGGCTTTGGCGATGAGGTCGGTTAAGTCGGCGATGATTTGGTCGCTCCTGACGAGGTCGACGCCGTCGCCGTCCGGGATGGGCTTGGAGGGGTCTGGATCGCAGGCCGGCGTGTGCTCGTCGCCATCCTCCCCTTCGCTCTGGCTCTCGTCGTGATGCTTATGGTGGGATGGGCTGAAGATGGAACTGCTGCATGGATGGATCCCTGCAGTAGCGAAGACGGTGCCCGCTGTTGTTTGAAGTCGTGGATGGTGAGCGTTCGGAAGCCGAGGGTGGGCTGTCGCGGATGGGGTTTTGTTCGGAACTTACGGAACTCCTTGGCGAGTTTGAGGGCATCTCGTGAGCTCTTGAAGGATGATCCCGTCACGATGAGTTTTGTGCAGCCGACCTCGACAGCTCTCCCCACCACTGCCTTCAGGTCGTCGGGATGTCTTGATTTGCCATGGTAGCGGCCCCTGAAAATGGGGTCTGCCAAGTTGATGCCGATCTGGTGAGAATGGAATAAGCCACTGGCACTTGATGAGTAAGACAAGGTCTTGGAAAACTCACATCGATATATCTCGGCGTGTAATTTGTGAGCTCAGGTGTCGCAGGTCCTGTTGCGACCGCTCCGTTCGGTTGGTCCAACTCCGGCTGGGCCATTCTCGTTCTCGCCAAAGTGGAACAAGGCACGCTGCCTACGATCGAGGTTCTGCTAAGTCGAATCCCTGCAATTCGCGGAATTGAGTGTAGTGGGCTCAATCTCATACTGCGGCAGTCAGTGGAGATTCCAGGTGCTTATAAATATCCGCTTCGGGTTATCATAAGCAAAGAACGGTGGTTGACTCAGAGTTGTTCATACAATAGTCCACAATGGGTATTATTGTGTCGTATTGTAGAGAGGATGATTACAATACAAGTGCTGGTAATCAAAGTCTAGCGATGATTGAACTGCCAACTCAATGCTATCCAACTACTTTGGCATTGTCTGTGGCAGTGAATGAGATGCCATCAAAAATAGGGAACCGGAAATGAAAGACCGCAAAACAGTTACCTCAGTCTCTTCAACTCAGGAATGGCTCAGGAAACTCCTTGTAGATGCGCTGTTACTGCCTTCACTTTGGAAATGCAAATTTCCAGGCTGCAACTGTGCCTCAGCTGGCGAGTGGGGCAATGACCGCATCTTGGCCCGGCCTGTTTGTATAATAGGCGGGGCCGCGTCGACGCGCCAAATTTCTAGCGGCACGCGTCGGACGCGGTCCACACAACCCCACGGCTTAAAAGAGTGAAGGGAGAAAGCAGCGCGCCTACTTCCTCCTCCTCCCTCCTGCATCTTCTACCCAACAAAGCAAGACAAGACAAATCCTTCAAGGGACATACAAACCGTCACACTGCTTCCTCTTACATATTTATCCATCAAATAGAGAGTCCTTCAACGGGTGGGGACAAACTCCCTGCCTTCCGCCACCGACCACTTCATTGAAAGGTCGGCCGTCTTCATTGTCTTGTTGTCTAGTCTACCACAACCGGCGTCATGTACGTCAAGAAGCGCGGTATGTATACGCCAGATTGTGACGCTGCAATCATTCGAAGCTAATATCGCTCAGATGGGCGCCAGGAACGCGTCCAGTTCGACAAGATCACAGCACGCGTCTCGCGTCTGTGCTATGGTCTTGATATGGACCATGTCGACCCGGTGGCCATCACACAGAAGGTCATCTCTGGTGTCTATGGCGGCGTGACTACCGCTCAGCTCGACGATCTGGTAAGCATCAGTCAAGAAACTGCTACGCTCGTTTCCTGCCTCGCTTCCACATGTATCAGTAGGCTAACCAAGACTCCTCTACTAGGCCGCCGAGACTGCCGCTTACATGACCGTTACACACCCCGACTACGCCATTCTTGCTGCCCGTATTGCCGTCTCCAATCTCCACAAACAGACAAAGAAGCAATGGTCGGCCGTCGTCAGCGACCTCTATAACTATGTCAACCCCAAGAACGGGAAGCCGTCCCCCATGATCGCCAAAGAGACGTACGAGTGTGTCATGCGGCACAGGGAAGAATTCGACTCAGCCATTGTCTACGACAGGGACTTCAACTATCAGTACTTTGGCTTCAAAACCTTGGAACGGTCCTACCTCCTGAAGCTCGATGGCAAGATTGTTGAACGCCCGCAGCACATGATCATGCGGGTTGCTGTCGGCATCTGGGGAGACAATGTCGAGCGTGTCATCGAGACATACAACCTCATGTCAAATAAACTCTTCACACACGCTTCTCCAACACTCTTCAATGCCGGAACACCCCAGGCTCAGTTGTCGTCGTGCTTCCTGGTCGATATGAAGGATGACAGCATCGAAGGCATCTACGACACCCTCAAGACTTGCGCCATGATCTCCAAGATGGCAGGCGGCATTGGCTTGAATATCCATCGCATCCGTGCCACCGGCTCCTATATTGCCGGCACCAACGGCACCTCCAACGGTATCATCCCCATGCTCCGCGTTTTCAACAACACTGCCCGCTATGTTGACCAGGGCGGCAACAAGCGGCCTGGCGCCTTTGCCATCTATCTCGAGCCTTGGCATGCCGATGTCTTTGAGTTCCTCGACCTCCGCAAGAACCATGGAAAGGAGGAAGTCCGTGCTCGTGATCTCTTCCTTGCTCTGTGGATTCCGGATCTCTTCATGAAGCGTGTTGAGAAGAACGGCGAGTGGACCCTCATGTGCCCCAACGAGTGCCCCGGCCTTGCCGATTGTTACGGCGAGGAGTTTGAGGCTCTGTACGAAAAGTACGAAAGGGAAGGCCGTGGTCGCAAGACGGTCAAGGCTCAGAAGCTATGGTATGCCATTCTCGAGGCCCAGACCGAGACGGGCAACCCCTTCATGCTGTACAAGGATCACTGCAACCGGAAGAGCAACCAGAAGAACCTGGGCACCATTCGCAGTTCCAACCTCTGCACCGAAATTATCGAGTACTCTGCTCCTGATGAGGTTGCTGTCTGCAACCTGGCTTCTATCGCGCTTCCAGCGTTTGTCGACTATAACGAGGGTGTTTATGACTTCAAGAAGCTCCATGAAGTCACCCAGGTTGTCGTCCGCAACCTGAACAGGATCATTGACGTGAACCACTACCCAGTCAAGGAGGCTTACAACAGCAACATGCGCCATCGTCCCATTGGAGTCGGTGTGCAGGGTCTTGCGGATGCCTTCTTGGCCCTTCGCATGCCATTCGAGTCTCCCGAAGCGCGTGAGCTCAACAAACAGATTTTTGAGACCATCTACCATGCCGCCTTGACCGCTTCGTGCGAGCTGGCCAAGGAGCAAGGCCCGTACTCGACGTATGAAGGATCTCCTGTGTCCCAGGGCATCCTCCAGTACGATATGTGGAACGTCAAGCCATCCGACCTGTGGGATTGGGATTCTCTCAAGGCCAAGATCAAGGAGCATGGTGTACGCAACAGCTTGCTGCTCGCACCCATGCCGACCGCCTCCACCTCCCAGATCTTGGGCAACAACGAGTGCTTCGAGCCCTACACGTCCAACATCTACCAGCGGCGTGTGCTTGCCGGCGAGTTCCAAGTCGTCAATCCCTGGCTGCTCAAGGACCTCGTCGACATGGGCCTCTGGTCTGACAACATGAAGAACCGCATCATTGCCGAGGGCGGTTCAATTCAAAACATCCCCAACATCCCTGCTGATATCAAGGCACTCTACAAGACAGTCTGGGAGATTTCACAACGCACCGTTGTCCAGATGGCTGCTGACCGGGGTGCCTTCATCGATCAGTCCCAGTCGCTCAACATTCACATGCGTGAGCCGACCATGGGCAAGATCACCAGCATGCACTTCACCGGCTGGAAGCTGGGTCTGAAGACGGGCATGTACTACCTCCGCACACAGGCTGCGGCCCAGCCGATCCAATTTACCGTAGACCAAGAAGCCCTCCGCGTCCAAGACAGCGCCGTCAGCAAGGCGCATTCTGGGTTGAAGAAGCGCTCGCCCCCTTCAGGGAGCTACATGTCGTCCCCCAGGGCGGTTCCCATGCCCATGGCATTTGTTAACAAGGAGAGCTCGCCGAACAGCCTGAGCAACGGGATCCCAACTCCCAGCACCACCCCTCCTCCGATCAAGACTCCTGCGGCAGCCGAGGTTAAGTCTCGCCCGCTTCCCTCGCCGTCTAAGCCGCCGGCGTTCAAGGCCGATGTCGACGAGGGTGATAGCCCCAAGTCACTGCCTACTGAGCCAATTGACAAGCCCAAGCTTGAGGAGATTGGCTCGCCGGCGCTCGATGCGAAGAAGGAGGGACAGACCGAGGACAAGGAGGAAGAGAGTAAGGAACGCGAACTCGATATTTATTCAGAGGCGGTGCTTGCCTGTAAGTCTTTCTCCGTGATGCCTGCCAATGATGTGTCTTGTACCAGGAAAATATACTGACACTCGGTTATACAGGCAGCATTGAGAATCCCGAGGCATGTGTCATGTGCAGCGGTTGATTCACGTCACTGTGGGAGACGCAGCGTCTTGCAAAGTGTTATGACGGGAGACGATGGCTGAAATGATTGGCATGGGATTAATACCTGGGCATGTTTTCTGTTTGTTTTTGTTTTTTTATCATGGGTTATACTGGTACATGCGGGCAGCCGTGCTCTGGTAGGATGCCTGCAAAGTGTAAATGCTTGTTTTTCCCTTTCCTTGAGGCGGAGTTGGATCATGAGCTTGTTTGTTTGCCTTTCACACTGTCGACTGTGTCGCGAATTCCTTGCTGAAATGTATTATATACAGGCGGAGAGCTTGCCCTCTGCAGTTGTCTTGCTAGAGTCTGGGTAGTGTATGCTGCTTGTCTTCTGATGCTTAGGTTAGTGCGCTGAGGGTTCAGTCCACTATCACTCGGTCGTCCTAGCTGCAATGAAGTAACTCATTTGTTCACTAACGAAAGAAAGTCGAGCCCCGTCCTTGCTGGATGCAGCGTCCGTTTTGCTTAATACTGTGTTATACGTGTGCTTGATGCTGTCGCACATGCTTGCAGATCCAAGGTGAGTCTAGTTCTTTCATCTGTCGTGTATTGTACGAATGGCAACATGGGATGGCAACACGATTGCGTCATTTACTCTACCCTGCATTGAGGAACTGTTTTTGCCTGCCAAAAATTACCCGACCTACAGTAGGCGTGTCTTACCTGAAGAGACTCGCTGAACCGACACTGCTATGGAAATTCTTCCTGTCTGAGAATTTGAAGATATGGTCTCTTTGACTGTGAATCGGTCGGAGTGGTGGTGATGTGGGTGGCTTTAAGAGTTGAAAGCATGCTGGCATGAATGGATGATCGGCGGCATGGGCCCCCGGCTGCCGGCATGCCAAGCCCAGTTTGACAATGACTGATAGGGCAACCGATGTGGGGCGACGGGAAAAGCCGATCAACTCAGACCTCACCTTTGGGCACTGCCTGATGGCACCTGGAGATCGTGAGAAAGTAACGAGGAGCAAAGGGGAGAAGTACAGCTTCTTTAGTCTTCTCTTGGCTGCAATTTACAATCGCGATCCAATACTTCCATGCTTCCTATCTGTGTTGTTTTCAAGAGATGTGTAAGACCATTCAAAGTCCATCAACAAGTTATCCGTAACGCGTCATCGATTCGAACTCGGCCTTGGTTGCGGCTCGGGAAGCCATCTTGGAACCCCTGTCCGCAACACAAGCCACTTCGGCCTTTGGGGCCAATAAGCAGCCGCCAGCTCCCCAAGACGGGAACCCCTCTGGAATTCTTGTCAAACCACAAGATCCGGAAGAAAGATGAGCAAGGGAACGTCCCCTCCGGTCTGCGAACCCTCGTTCACGTTCGGCTCGATCTCTTGTGATGGTAACTTCCAGATTGCTGTGTTCGTGCCGGGACCCTGCCCTGACAGTCACCCTAGCAAATAAATGTTGGCCCTACCAACTGTTGACTTGGACTTTGTATGAAGACATTAGATGAACGTGCATGTCAACATCAACATTTCCAGCAGCCCCGCCAGAATAACGCTACTGACAAGAAATTGCAGTGATGAGCGAACGCTGTCGATTCCGGTTTAGCTGGCCAGGACTCCCTTCATGTCAGTGTCACTGCATCAATAGCAGGATGCTTCAGACTGCAAACGCCCGTCTGCGGGCCTAGTGATGTGGCAGGTGGGAGCTCCAATCCTTGTCCTACCTAGCCTAGTACCAGTTGCAGGGACGGGACGAAGCAGTGTCGCCGCAATTGGATTCCCCACGAGGTAGGTTCTGATTTTGCCTATGTGCTTGCTTGCTCTCTTTCTGATGAGTGGTTCCTATCTGTACACAAACGTCGTCATCGCTGACATCAAAAGAAGCTCACAGCAGCTTCGTAAAGAAATATTATCATCTTAGAACTCAGAGAATAATGGTACACATTTGTGGGATTTATGTTTTCTTGCTGAATAAGAATCCCAAGTGCTAAGAGGTTTGCATTGGTGCGTGCACGAACCATATCGAGCTTTCCCCTTCGTACTTTCCATTCAGGAGTTTAAGTTCAACACCCATTTCCTTGGTATTTTCATCCGAACGTGGAACAAGGGTTTGTTCTCCCTCTCGCAAGTAATTCCAAGTGGCTGCCCTTAAGGCATTGTACTTTCCTACTTTGACTCGGTGCCCCTCTTTCGCGTTCCCTTGTTTTCCTCTTCCTACTTCTTACAAAGCTAGATTCCACAGATCGCAACGTTTCGCAGCCACAAATTGCGTAATTTGAAGCAAGCAAACCTTCACAACACCTTACATCCTTCGAAAACCACTATCGCTTCGTCACTCTCGATCGATCGAGCGATTCCTAAGGTATTTTCCACTCCCAATCTTCGTCGAAAGCTTCCCTCTCGAAAATTTACCCCGCGAAACCTCCCCTCGCAAAACCTCTCCTCGCGAACCTTCCTTTCGTAACCTTTTCCCTTTCGAAACCTTGCCTTTCAGAAAACTTCCCGTCGAAAACCTTCCCTTCGAAAACCTCCTTCGTAAGAACACAATAACATCGTACATCAGTGCGGCTTTTGCGCTCTCGCTTACCTGTTAGTTTTCGCTCTAGACCATTCATTTCGAATCGCGACTCTCACCACTTCGAAAATGAAGATGTTCTTCGCGACCATCCTCGGCCTTCTCGGCGCGGTCCTTGTGGCCGCCCAGGAGTTCCCCGCGAACATGCCCGACTGCGGTGTAAGTGACGATTTATCTCCTCTTTCTTGTTTTTAAATCGCGTCATTCGCCGTGGTTCAATCCTCCCGTGAAGCAGACCATTCTAACCCGCATAAACGCGTGTAGAGAGTTTGTGGCACCGCCATGCTCAACAAGGGCGCCGAGCTTGGCTGCCCGGATGGAAATATTGCTTGCCTGTGCCGCAATGTCAACTTCGGATACGGCATTCACGACTGCTCCATCTCGGTCTGCGCTGGCAACATCGAGCAGGCCAACATCGCGATTGCCTGGGGCAACGACCTGTGCCTCGCCAATGGCGTCACCGCTAACATTTCGACCTTCACTCCTACCCCGACCGTAAGTATTACACCCAACACCTGAGCACAAGTCGTTGATAATCATGTACATAGGGCGATGCTACTGTCACGGCCACCGTCTCTGAGGTCACTGCCACCGTGACCAGCGACACCTCCACCTTTGAGACGACCTTCATGACCACCGTGTCAAGCCCTTCGGTCGTGACCAGCACCGACACTGCCGTCAACACCAGTGTTTCGCCCACGACCACCGTGACCGCGGAGACCACCGTCGGAACCACCTCGGCTGCTCCCACTGAGTCGCCCGCGGAGGAGACTTCGCAGCCTCAGGACACGGCCACCACTTCGACCAGCACCGCCATGGTATGTGTTCTCTTTCCTGCTAAGTCAATTGTGTCCCTGTCTTGAATGCTGACAATCCTGTACAGGGCGCTCAGGCTACAGTTGGCCCGGCTCTGGGCTTCCTGGCCGCCGCTGGCATTGCGGTTGCGATGCTCTAAAACCAAGATACGTCGCCGCCGCTAATATCGGCGAATATCTCTCCCTGGCCATTTGCGTTTTTTTTCGGTGCTTTCTTTAGAATTGGAGCGACTGCCATCGGTGGCGGATCTTAATGAGTTATGGAGCATGATCAAGGATGGGAAGCCGGGGTTTCTTTTTCCTTTGTTTCTGCTTTGATATCCCATTGATTTTCCTTGCCTGGCGTTGGTCAGTCAGTACTCATACATAGGCCATGGGAGGCTTTTCCAGACAAGGAGTGATACCCGGCGTAGGAGGGGAGGTGGGCCAAGTTATCGTCGTTGCGTTCTGGGAATCTGGATGGACACAGCGAGCGAGGGACCCCCGACTGCTAATTAGATAACTGAAGCTGGGAGCTACTACCTAGGCATCTGAAACAATACAGAAGAGTTTTCTTTTATTGTTGTCTTTGGTAGGGTGAAGGTGAGAGTGTGATCCGGTTTTACAATGGATGTCTACCGTGGCATGTTGTCTTGAAGGGGAAATTGAGTAGCGTCCTAAGGGATTCGTGAGATGTGAGCGGGCTTGTTGTATGTTTTGTGATGCTTGACAACTAAACGACAAGGTCACGGCTGTGGTGATAATAGCCAGCAGCTTATATCAGTAGCCTCGTCCTTCCAATATGAAGATGTGATCATCCTCATGACATATATGAGATATGACTTGTGAGCTAGATTCCTGGTGATTGTTAATTACAAGTCAGCCTACAATGCGCGTCCTATGACGAGAAGATGGTGGTGGTGATGGTGTGTTTATGGCAAGGAGCACGATTTGAGCAGGACCAGGTGGTTAAGTAAGAGTGGGAAACAAAGCTGGTGTGAGAAGGGGGAAAGGTCCATTTGCTGCTAAAGAGGCCTTCGAAGCTAAAGCTACTGGTATTGAACTTATCGCAATGGCAATGTTATCCATGGTAGAAAGAGACATAGCAACTTGCTTCAACGATGTCCCTGACCCCTTCTTGCGCATCTCTAAGCCGAGTCTAAATGAAATGGATCTTGTCCGAGTTCAGGGGCCCGCTCCATTTCAGGGGGGCAGAGACCACAAGGCAGTAGTACTGTCACGGTCACAACTTGAGGTAAGTATTAAGTAGTCTAAGGAGCACAGATCTATCATACCTATATTCTTCGTACACGAGCTGTCTCCTGGAGCTTTGAAGTAAAGTAAGGTATATGTATGTACAGTACATACTGAACACAATAACGTTCGTATACACAACCTTGTGATCTTCAACTCCTCACTTGTACCTACAGCTTTGTATTGTTTGTAACTACAGTGTTGCTGTGGCTATGGCTATGGAGATGAAAACGATAGTGAAGTGCACGTCGCAGTTTGGGCCGGTCTCGGGGCTTCTCCGATTCTGCTAGCGTTACATACCTAGGTGTCTTTATCTTTGATCTGCCAGTGTGGGAAACCTGTTTTCTGTAAGGACATGCTATCCGAGGCAGGCTGTGTCGTGTGGCTTCGTCGCAAAAAGGATTGCCGCGTCGAGGGTAGCCTCCATACAACCCCTACGGCATACACGTGCAGAGAGTGCCAGAACCAAGGAGTCCATGACCCGTGCCGGATCCCTGCGTAAGTGTAGGTAGCGGATGTGGATGGGCAGTTCGGTTCTACACAAAGACGGGAAGAGGACAATATGGTCGAGGAGAGAAAGACGTATGTCCAGTTGTAAAGTACAACCCTCAGCGGGAAGATCAAGTGCCGCTGCATTCTGTCTGACTTTGTAGCTATGGCTAACTAGAGCGTGCACTTTTAAGCAAAGTGTGGATGGCCCAACTACCTCTGTACAGCCGAATGAATCCCAGGACGGCACGAGCGAGCTGTTTACCATACCTCTCTACCTTTCACAAGTGAAGCTTAACAGTAGACTTGCCGCGCTGAGATCCTTTTGTCTCAGGAGAAGGGGCTCATGCACTCATGGGAGGGATCCAGTTCCCCACACACAGGATGATGATCAATGGTTCAGTAGTGGCAATGGGGGACAGGGCAAGCTTGACCGGGAAAGGTGGCATTGGAATTAAGGGAGCAGCCGCGCTGCGTTGCAGATGCGGGAACGGGAGCGGGATGACCTTGAGCGTGCAGAACATGCAAAATGGAACATTGCGGGGAGGCGGGCCAAGTGGCCGTCTGAAAGGACAAATTTGGGGCAGCTTTCTTTCGTCAATGTGCGTGATGATGCTATGATAAGGGGTCTCAAAGGTGCTGCTCGACGCAGGGATAGATAGGGGATGTCGATCTTGACGGACGGCAGCCGACATGTGGTAAGATTCTTAACTACACGTTGAAGTTACACACACGCTTTTGCAGCAGCACAGCAAGCAAGGCCCTGGCCCCATCTGTCGCGGCGGATCGGACGGCGGGAAAACGCGGGGCGGGCGCCGAGAACAAGACGTAATAACTCCCGGTGCCGAGCCGGATCATCTGTGCCGATGCACGCCGGACTGTCCGCTGCAAGGGGAGAGGACGGCTGGTCAAAGGAACATCTTAGTTGTTTCTTCAAGCCCCCGGGTTGCCGCATACGTAATCCTGCTCCGTGCTATGTCCCGTCCCGGTGCTGTCGCAGGTTACGTGGTCGGGGTAATCTTCGGATGTCAATCACCCCTCCTTCGTCCGCGATAGTGTAGGCATGGAACAGGGAGTTGGTGGTGGCAACTGTCGAAAGTTCCGTGACAAAAGTTGTGGCTTCAGCTGAATCTGACTGCATCTGAGACAAACGACACAGAGCGAGCTGAACCACAGCGGTCTCTTGTAGTTCATATCCGTAGTCCCGTTTTGTCTTCGTCTGGAGCAACATTTGCTTTCTTTGTTTTCCATGTCTCACACTGCAATGGAGAGTCTCCTACTTCGTAGCATGGTGACAGTCATTTGCGCCTACACCGAAGTCAGCGGATAGGACCACAACTAGAAGAAATAGAGCCGGGCTAATGCTGGATGATGCCAAAGTCTCCTGACATTCACATACCAAGCTGGTGTGATCAACCAAATGTTGAGAAAGGCAGTGCGCAAGCCCTGCTGTCATTACCGGGATTGTCTTGTAAAACGAGTCTTGGCCGTTGAAGATCGTCATTGTGACAAGGTTTGGTTGGTGGATTGGATTAGTGTGGAGAAGGGATCGAGACGGGACCCACTGTCTCCGTGCGCTAAACCTGATTCCAGGCCCCGTGCGAAGGCAAGCTTGGGCCGCTCGCTCCTGGGATGGAAACGGCACCATGGAAACCGCGAGGTGGAAACGATGCGATGAACAAGAAGCATTGGAAATGCTGCAGAAGTTACGGATATTCCGTACTGTAATTACTTGGTCCCTTATCGACGATGCTGTAGTTCGTATGGAACAGCAGCCCTATGCTATCAGCTTTACGGAGTATAGCTTCAAAGTTCACCGAGTCTGGTAGCGTCCTGGATCCCGATAAGTCGTGCTTGGGTACCTACCTAGTTTCAACGATCATGACAGGTGATGTAAATTGGAAACAGTCAACTTGAAGATAACGCTAAGTGTGTGATTTTGAGTTACACGGTATACATACAATGGCACAGAGACTAGGGCCGGACGACGTAAGGTGGACGGTGTGAGGTGAAAGGCAGAAGCCTGCTCCGTACTAGGCTAGGCAACGAGACAAAGAACCGTATTCTCGGGAACCCGGGGCTTGGGGGCCATGACGCGCCCTGGCTCGGCCTGGCTGCCTGTACTCGGAGGTGTGTGTGGCGTTTGTTCATCACATCATGATCCAAAGGCCTTAACCATTGACTTATAGCCGAAACGCTCTAGAAAACAGGTTCGCCCGAGTTGTCAGCACGGTTCCCTACCGTCGGGTGCCGGGCGGTCCGGATTGATGAATGGATTCAGTATCTCCATACTCCGTAGACGTCTCTTGCATCAGTTGCGGTGACGAACCGCAAACTGGACTAAGATGGATCTTCAACCGGTGAGCGACGACTGATGGTATTGGCGTCGAGGACATAGCAATGATTCGTCGCAACAGACGTGGCACAGTTGGCCGTTGCGCTCCAGGCTGTTCCATGGTTGAGGTCCGAACTAGGTGGCACTCCGCATAACGCTAAGTATGTGACGAACCAGCATTGAGGATTTATGGTGTAGTAAGCGGAAGAACAACTGCTCCCAGCCCCTTGGCGCCGGTGAAGAGGGAAGCGGCGGGATCAGCTGCAGGACCCTTAGTCCGTGATATGTAGTTTAGGTTCTGGCTTGGCGGAGACGCTCATTCAGAAATGAGGTGAGTGATTGGCCTGCGACATTGCCAGAGAAGTGTCCCAGCTCTTGGATGAGCTGGCTGATCAATAACACGAACATATCGGTGCGGAAGAAATTGTTGTGGTGTGGCTCCTGGTGTCCTGAGCCTTGGCGGGAAACTGGTGGTCAATGCTGCCTCATTTCCCCAGCCTGATCACATGCTCAGGCAGGTGGGCAGGAAGAGAGTTTAACGTTACTCGTCAGGGCTTCATAATCGCCATCTGCCCCACCACTGCGTAGAGGGTCAGGTCCTCTGATTCCATAAAAACTTTTGATTCCTTAAATTTAGTACTTCCAGTTACTAGCGAAT